AACAACTATGAATTTTGTTATCTTTTATTTTTGCTTCTTTAGTTTGTAAATGTTTCAACTACGAATCTATTTACACCATCTATTGTCACCTTCATTCTATTTTTATACACTATTTTAAAAATATTTTTTATCGTTTTAAGCTTCATCTTCGTTAAGATAAATTGGTCTACAAAAAAATTCAAACCCGATTATACCCACCCGCTTAAATCCGAATTTGTTTCAACCCGAACCGCCTCAAATCGAAAGCTCAGTCGGTCGGATATGGGTCACATTTTTTCAAAGCCGGTTTACAACGGGTTGGACATTTTTCACCCGAACCCGACCAAACCCACCCGTTGCTCACCCCTAGTTTTCATATGTTATTTAATGTTTTTCTTCTTACTTCATAATTTTTAATAAATCTTAACGCTAAAAATAGGAGAAATATCAATACATGCACTCTCTTTAGATATATATTAGCAAAAAAAAATGCTTAATTTTTTTGTCTAAAGAGTAAAAATCCAATTTTGTTCCTAAAAGATGATAGATGTTACTAATAGGTCCATAAATGATTTTTTTTTATAATATCTAGATCACTAAATTTTAACTTTATTATTTAAGTTAGTTTTTTCATTATACTTAGTTATTAATTTTATTAATTTCATGACTAATCAATAGTTAATTGTCATGTTGACACGTATTTTCTCTTTCAATTAACATACAATAGTTAGAAGCTACGTAGATTTAGACACGTGTGGTAAAGTAAAATTTAATTTAAAAATAAGTAAAGTGACATTTAAATAGCTTATTGTTTCCCACCGTAATAGAGATGCCCATTACTATTAACCTTTTTCCCATTTCTATAAGAGGAGTTTTGTGATTTATTATACATAATAGAAACACTTATATTCGATTGATACATTTTTATTTGAGATCTTTTAACATGATCACTTATTTTGTTAAACCCCAAATTCAATAATTTAAGATTTACAATCTTAAACCTATAGCTAAAACAAATAAAGAAATTAAGAATAATTGAAACAAAAAAATTCAACTACAAAAAACTCTATAAAACCCAACAACAATCTTTTTATTTAACTAAAACACCCATAATAAAATATTTAAATATGATAAAGTGTTAATTGCTAATTGAAAGGTAGTTTTGCATTATGGTCCATATTAGGTGATTAGAAGAGAGAACAACTAACTAGGAAAGAGATTATGTGTCAACCTAATACTTAACTATTGATTGTTTAGGAAACTAACAAAGATATAATCAAGTAAAACAAAATGAATAACTTGCATAACGAAATTAAAATTTAGGAACCTAAATGTCACAATAAATCTTTAGGGATATATCATTCACTTTTATTATCTTTCAAGGAACACATTGGGTTTTAACTCAATTAAAATATAAGTAAATTTCAATCAAATCAACATTATTGAATATTTTTAAACCAAAAAGACCCTTAATACAATAAATGACAGTACTATTTACTATAGGTGTAGTTAAAACTATTTTAGTAAATATATTATATATTTTATGCAGAATTATGAAAATTAAATATATCTAATTAACTTTCTTAATTAGTGTAAAATTAGTCTTTTTTATTTATGTATAGATATAGAAGGGTTAGAATAGTGTGTATTTCTTTCTATTACTTTATTTATTATAAAGAAATATTTTTAATAATAAAAAATAAATATGAAAGTAATATTATATAAATTGTTGTAATATTTTATTTCATACGTATCATAACTTAAAAAAGAAAAGTGTTAATACGAGTGTGTTTCAGTTTTAGAGGAGGTTGTAAGAAATCATGGTAGTACTGTATAGTGGTATATGAAAAATGTTGTAATTGATTGTTGGAATTGTGGGGAAGGGTGAGTTAGCAGGTAGAGTTAATGGTACAGTATTTGGTAAGGGTATTGAAGGTGGTGGGTCCCAAAGCTCTAGACATCATAGGATTTTGTTCCAAAATAGATGCAACGGAAGGTTCGAGGAAACAAAATACACGTGGTAACAACCATCTTCTGAACACTTAAATTTTTCTGTTCAAAAGTAATGCTTATAATTCACATATATTTACTCATGCTTCTCTCAGCACTCCCTCTGTCGGTTCCCTCGGAATTGGTAAGTTGGTTTTGTTAGTTGCAAATTGCAATCCCTCCATTGCTACCCTCTCTACCCCATCCAAATTAAATTAACTTACCACCACCATACTCCTACTTCCTTTCTTCCAAATTTATTGTTATTTAAGGTTCTAGTATGAAGAAATCATTAATCAAAGTAGCATATCTTAACTCAATTTCATTTAGTTGGTTGAGATGATGTTGAATTAGTCCTCCTTACAATTTCATAATCGATTTGTATTCTTCTTTCTTAATAATGTTATATCTCCTCCACTAGTCCTCTCAATTAGTAATTTATAAATGTATTTTTTTAAAAAAAACACCTTCAATAATAGTTTCTACATTTAGCATGTATATGAGGATCTGCTTTAAGATGTTAGAATTATTCAATAAATTTTAACTTGAAAGCTACTTCCCCTCCAACTCTCTTTACTCCAATTCTCTCATGTCTATTCTCCTTCAGTAATGGTGGGCCATGTTGATTGCAGCTGTTTAATAGGGAAACATGTTCAGTGAGAGACAACAGGGTACAAATAAATAATTTTTTTTTTTTAATATGGAGGAGCAGAAAACTCCTAGACACAACTTCTATAAAAGCTTTTTTTTAATAAGTAATTATGATAAATAAATTATTATAATTTAACCAACAGTCTCAAATTTGAATATTGATATTTATAACATCTTATTGATAGATGTGAATTGTAAAATGAAGAAAAACATAATTAAAATGAATCTCGTGGATGTAATTAGAATTAGTTTTTGGCCATGTGCACCCAATGGCTGATTATATTGACAATGATAGCCTTCACAACAAGTAACTTTCAACCTATTATTTCCGCTGAATTCTTTTGTAATGTGCAAAGCACTTGTACAATTTGATGATCTGTTTGCGCTGTTTATGTTGCCCACAAGTCAAATTGGCCACTCATTTGTTTGAAACCGACCAAATAACCACTGCATAGTGGAAAATTATGAACCATTACTTGAGAGAAAGGTCTTACTATTATATATTTTAGCACGTTTGAGGGCTAAAATCTTGCGCCGATTTCTCTATTTTTTTTCCCCTCCTAGTGTTCCTTTTCCCATGAGCATGCGAGTGAAATCTTGCAATTTCTTTTGCAGAATTATTTGGTCAAAGGTACTCGTAGCCAATGAAAATGGTCTGAGTGTATCACCTTTATTCCGTTTTATCATTTTTTTTTGGTGGGTCCTTGAGTTAGCATCTATTCTGCGATCCTTGATCAATGCAATTTTATCTTGAGTGAATGCTTTGCACAGCCATGTGAGAGAATAAGCAAACATAAAGAAAGACAAAGGATTGGCTACGTGGTAGTGGAATGCGTCGTTCATGATCATCCTTATGATTGTAGCTTATTAAGTTTTATTTATTTATTTATTTATCAGAAAACAAAACTTTTCAAGTCTTACTTGCATCTGTTGCTACTTTACTGTCTTCATAATACTACTTTTCAATTTTGGTGATGATTGAATTGTCTTTGTGGAGATTAAAAAGAAAAAAGAACTCTTCTATGTACTTAATTACTATACTTTAAAATGCTATGGAGATTATTTGAGAGGCTTCCCTGTTCCTTCATTCATCTCAAGCTGTATTATAGCACGCAAGAAAATCCAAATATTGGATCTCATCGTCTTTTAAAAAAATGCCACTGATATTTTCACCATGGTGTTGAATTCCAGTCTCATTCTCAAGCAAAATGTATAATTTACAACCTTTAACTTTACAGGTTATGATTTAATCATTAAACTTTAAAACAAGCAAAGAAAAATATCATACTTTATATATAATCACTTGAGTTTGACTAAGATTAGAGATGGTAACATACTAGACTAAGTTATGCTACTTTATAATCAGCCAGAGTCTATTATACCTGCTCAATATAGTTTTTTCTTAAGGTCTAATATGACCTTTTCAAAACTTTTTGGCATGACTTGAAAATATATTTAAATGCTTATTTTATAATAATACTTTTCTAATACCCAAACGAAATCATCTTTAAATAGGTTAAGAGGTTATTTGCAACTCAACAAAGTTAAACCTTTGAACTGATCAATAAATATATATAATTTCAAATTTTTATAAAAGTATACTACTCAAGGAATCTAGCTCAATTATTTGAGCAGGATGCATAAATTGTCATACACTTGTTGATAATATCTTCAATTTCCATATATAAAAGATAACAAAAGTTAGGTATACTATTCCTTAATTTTTTTAAGATGAAGTTTTAAAATGACGTAATACTTATTCAGATTAATTTATTTGAAAAAAAGAAGATTATTTTATAGAATTTAAGTTATCTCAAACAAGCACCAACCTTAACATTTTAAATTGAATATACTTTTCTATAAATCTCAACTAATTTAATCTATAGACTTTACTTGACATGAACTAGATTAGTAGACCTAAAAACAGTTAACTTGTATTATTTCTATCCACAGTTACACCCCAGTTTTACGTAGTTAATGTCTCGTTTTTTTGGTTACAAGTTAATGTCTCGTTTGATTAAATTTAAAAAATGCTTTTGTGATATAAATTTTTGTAGAATTTCTTTTTAGAAGTTATTAACTTTAACTTTTAAGAGAAACATTAAATTAGTTTTACTTACTTTATGTTAAGTTTTTATTTTTCAGCACAAACTTACATAATTTCGATAAATTTCCAAAAGTTATCTTTTAAATGTCACAATTTCCATCAAACCATAGCCAGCCAAATGGCTCGTACATTTTAAAAACTTTAAAATCAAAATTAAAATTTTAGGAACTTTAAAATCCTAAACCCAGAGAAAGCCCAATAACAAGCCCAACAGAGCCCGATTATAACAAGAAGCCCAGATTCTCATAACAAAATAACAAAAAATAAAAATATCTCATTTCCGTTAGCGCGGTTATCCACAATTCATTCTCTCAACCACGTTCCATCCCCGATGGCCAGCACCGCAACTCAGTATCTCCAAATCGCCGGCGCCGGCGCCGCTTCGAATCACCGGAGAACCTCCATTTCGTGCACGAAGAAATCGAATCCTTCGGCATTCAAGGAAACGAAGCAAGGCTTCGTGGACTACGACCGAGGTCAGCACGAGGTCGCCACCAAAATCACCGGCATCCGCAAGGACGACATCGCCGCCCGCTACCGCCTCCGCGTCGCCGGAAACCGCTTCCAGAAGGACTGGACGGTGTCCGAGGTCGTCGACTTGGTCCTATCGCTCGACATCTCCGACGACGTCGACGGTCTACTCAACCGCTGGATAGGCCGCTTCGCACGCAAGAATTTCCCCTTCCTCATCAAGGTGTTCCGAATTTCCGATTCTCCTGATGCGCGATTTTTTCTTCTTCTTCTTTTTTGAGCCGTATAGTTTTAACGTTATCTGCGTTGCGTTTTCGTTTTGGACTATGTAGGAGTTGACGCAGCGAGGGTCCGTTGAACACTGTAACCTCGTGTTCCGGTGGATGAAGAACCAGCGAAATTACTGTGCGCGCACGGATATATACAACATGATGATTAGGTTGCACGCTCGGCACAATCGAACGGACCAGGCGCGTGGATTGTTTTTCGAGATGCAAGAGTGGAGGTATAGTGTGAATACATGAATTTAAGCTCTTTGGATAAACTTATCGTTATAGTAGAAGAAAATAAGAAGTTAAAATGCATTGAGCTTCTCTCATAAGCTAAAATCTACTTATGCACATTAAATTTTGGAGAAGTGAAGTGAAAAAGAGTTTCTACTTTCTACAGAAGCTAAGTTCATAAGTTGATTTTGGTTTATGTGAGAAGTTGAATTCATTTTACCGTCTTATTTTCTTTTTCTGTAAGTGCTTATGGAGATATTTATTTAAATATGGCCTTAGTTGTTAGAGGTTGAATTGTTTTGTGAAATCAGTGAGCGTGTGTTGGTTGTGGTTTGTAGGTGTAAACCTGATGTTGAGACTTACAATGCTCTTATCAATGCGCATGGTAGAGCTGGACAATGGCGTTGGGCCATGAATATCATGGATGACATGCTGCGTGCAGCTGTGTGTACTTTGTATTTTTCTTCCCTACTCATATTTTGTGAGTTCAACCTGATGTGATCAAATTTTTTTTTCTTTCATTTTTTATGGTGTTAAATTGTAGTTAAGCATGTAAGCATGTATAGCGAAGGGAGAGGGATAAAGAGAGAGCATATTGTATGAGTGTTTTATTACTTTGCCATGTTTTATGGTCACTTGATGAGTATTTTTTACAGGATCCAGTTTATGATGATTCATGCTTCTCGCAGTCCATGTTCTTAATGATTGAATAAAGATCTGTGCAGTGTGCACAACTCCATTACATTGTAGTCTTGAGATTTTATGTTTAGATACATACAAGTTTAATTTGTTTCATACTTTCATTTGATGGTAGAAAATATCTTCCTCTCTCCCATTGCTGGGAACTGTGAACCATATAGGTTTCATTCAGGTTATTCTTGTTGATTTGTTCTATGCATCATGTCCAAATTGACCTGCATGCTACACCAGCTGGTCATGAAGTCACAGTGAGTGATTAATCATGGTGATGAGAGTTTTGTGACCATTGTGGTCTTGCCAGCTTTTCATTTGATTATTCTCAGACATGTTGTTGTGAACTGGGAATTTAAAATTTAAGCACTTCAATTGTTGTTGGTATCTATAACTGCTGTTTGTGACACACTGCATATTTTTTGCAGATTCCGCCAAGTCGGTCAACTTATAACAACTTGATAAATGCTTGTGGATCTAGTGGGAATTGGAAAGAAGCACTCAATGTTTGCAAGAAAATGACAGACAATGGTGTTGGGCCTGATCTTGTTACTCACAATATTATACTATCTGCATTTAAAAGTGGGGCTCAGTATTCAAAAGCTCTGTCTTATTTTGAACTAATGAAGGGAACTCATATCCGTCCTGACACAACTACACTTAATATTGTTATTCATTGTCTAGTAAAGCTTCGACAATATGACAAAGCTATTGATATTTTTAATTCCATGAGGGAGAAGAAGTCAGAATGCACCCCTGATGTCGTTACATTCACTAGTATCATTCACTTGTATTCTGTGTGTGGACAAGTTGAAAGCTGTGAGGCTGCATTCAATATGATTCTTGGAGAAGGGCTGAAACCAAATATAGTCTCCTATAATGCACTAATAGGTGCATATGCTGCTCATGGGATGGACAATGAAGCACTTTTGGTTTTCAATGAAATAAAGCAAAATGGTATCCGCCCTGATATTGTGTCTTATACTTCTCTCCTTAATGCTTATGGAAGATCACAAAAGCCCCAGAAGGCAAGGAAAATATTTGATATGATAAAGAAAAACAAGTTGAAGCCAAACATTGTCAGTTACAATGCACTGATTGATGCTTATGGATCTAATGGTTTGCTGGCAGATGCAATTGAAATCTTGCGAGAAATGGAACAAGATGGAATTCAGCCAAATGTTGTCTCAATATGCACCCTCTTGGCTGCCTGTGGACGATGCAGTCGGAAGGTGAAGATTGACACAGTGCTAACAGCAGCTGAGATGCGGGGAATTAAATTGAACACAGTTGCATATAATTCAGCTATAGGAAGCTGTATGAATGTAGGGGAATATGACAAAGCTATAAGCTTGTATAAATCTATGAGGAAGAAAAAAGTTAAAACTGATTCTGTTACTTACACTGTGTTGATAAGTGGTTGTTGTAAGATGTCAAAATATGGTGAAGCCCTATCTTTTATGGAAGAAATGATGCATCTAAAACTTCCTTTGTCCAAAGAGGTCTACTCATCTGTCATATGTGCCTATAGCAAACTGGTAAGTACATAGGTTATTAAGATGTGGCTCAACGGCAAGACTTTATGAAATTTGAGGCTTCTGTTTCTTTTGTTTCACAATTTTTTTTTTTTTGATAAAATTTCAGGGCCAAATTGTAGAAGCAGAGTCTACATTCAACCTGATGAAATCATCTGGTTGCTACCCTGATGTGGTTACATACACTGCCATGCTTGATGCTTACAATACAGCTGGTAAAATAAATTTTAACCACTGAAATGTTAGAATGTTATTTATAAATGGATAACTAAATAACAATATTTTATGATCAGAGAATTGGGAGAAAGCTTATGCACTCTTTGAAGAAATGGAAGCAAGTGGCATCAAGCTAGATACTGTTGCTTGTGCAGCTCTAATGAGATCTTTTAATAGAGGTGGCCAACCAAGAAGGGTTCTTGGTCTTGCTGAGAGTATGAAAGAAAAAGAAATTCCTTTCAGTGATACCATATTTTTTGAAATGGTATCTGCCTGTAGCATGTAAGTTCATATTTGTTTGTATATTCCTCATTTTAAAAAAAAGTTACGCACTAAACTTGTTATTTCCTGTTTTACTTTTTGTGGGCTTTCTTGAAACATCAAAAAATGTCCATCTTACAATAGTGTCTCCTCTGTTGATTCACTTAAGCTAATTGAGACTTTGCTAGTATCTTCCTGATTATGACATCATGGCACTTTTTCAACCTGATGGCTAATACGCTTTTATAATTGGAAGTTTGGTACTTGCCACTTTGTTGGTGTATATGCTGTAGAATGGCTTTAATCTTTTAACACCATTCAATAAGCTTTCATATTATCCACCATTTGATACACGTTATTGTTATTTTTGTTCAGCATAAAATATATTTCTTCACAATAATATTAATGTTATTATTTGTTTATAACATCTGTGGAACTTGAAGGGCAATAGCATGGTCTTATGATAAATTGATACATTTTATGACATTCTTTATATGTTATGAAATTTGATGCTTTGATGCATTTTTACTCGCCAAAGCTCAGAGGATTCAATAAGAAGAGTAGGCAACAAACAAAATAATAGACACCTATTACTCAAATTGCTTTAGTTTGATAACCATAGTTCTATTTTACAGCTTTGCATTTTTTCTTCAGTTACTGTTTATTTACTGTTATATTCCTGTCAAACTGAATGTTTCTTTTGCCATAAGATTACAAGATTGGAGGACAGCTGTTGATATGATCAATTACATAGAGCCCTCACTTCCTGTAATATCATCCGGATGTTTGAATCAGTTCCTGCATTCTTTAGGAAGAAGTGGAAAGATTGAAACTATGTTGAAGGTAACTCAAATCTTCTCCCAAAGATATTAATGTTACCAAGCACATTAAATATGATTACCCACCACCTTGATATTTGTTTTACGCCACCCTGCTTTCTTATTATTTTATTTTTCATGTGTGCAGTTATTCTTCAAAATGTTGGCATCAGGTGCTGATGTTAACTTAAGCACTTACTCTATTTTATTGAAGAATCTTTTATCATCCGGAAATTGGAGGAAATATTTAGAGGTAGGCTATTTGTTTTCTCTTTTATAGATTAATATAATGATGATGCATACAAAATCATGATGCCAACTTGTCAACAGTAGATTGTTTGGCTTGTTGCATGCAAGAAGTTCATAACTATGTATCTGGACCAAATATTAAGAGTTCCAAGTTTTCAACTCATTAAATTAGTTGAAACTTGAAAATATATGGAACTGATGGAAAAGGAGATAAAAGAACATACAAGTGTTAAGCATAGATTTAATAGCTAAAGTACAGGTAAAAGCTTGAATTAAGAGTAGAAGTCAATTACATCTTTGTCCCATTTGAAACCATCAAATCCTAGCTAAGGGGATTTAGAAATACATGGAAAAAGGGAAAGAAACATCAAACAAGAAAAGGTAGAGAACTCTTAGCCATCTTCAAGACTTTGAAGAAGAATCAAGAGAACAAGAGCTTACTTCTTCTAGCTGTAGCTTTGGTCTCCAAAGTATTAGTGTATTTTTTTGCTACAATCATAGAGGAGAAATGAGGTTATTTTATTTATTTTAAATATATATTAATAATAATAATAATAATAATAATAATAATAGTAATAATAATAATAATAACAACAACAACAAATGAAGAGTAAAATAATTCCAAACTACAAACACCCTAAAAAGTAAAAAGCACTAAATTTTTTTATTTTAACAAGTTGCTTTGAAAGTTAGCAATCAAGTAGTAAATATTTGAGCATAGCTATTACATGAATTAGAACCACGCATTTTTACAGACTTATCAAAACCCATGTTTTTTCATGATTGTACTAGAGCGGCTATGTTTAATTTCTTTTTTTTTTTTGTGTGTATTTTATCATATTGTAATAAACATGGAAAATCACTCAAATTGTGATACAGGTATTACAATGGATGGAGGATAATTTCATTTTTTTGTGTGTATTTTATCATATTGTAATAAACATGGAAAATCACACAAATTGTGATGCAGGTATTACAATGGATGGAGGATGCAGGAATTCATCCATCAACTGAAATGTACCATGATATATCCTCCTTTTCGCAAAAATGCTGTGGGGATGAAAATGCTGCTGTCATAAAAGAAAGACTTGGTATGAATTTTCATGTTGTATTGAGGATTGCGTTTCCTAATGTTGATATGCACATGCTTTCATTCTTTTAATGCACCCTGCTATTTGAAGAGGTTTAATTTATTTAATCAACCTGTGTGATTTTGCTTAGGTATAGACCAGGTATTTTATTTGTGTATGTGTCATTTTGCTTAGTTCATCATTCTTCTTTCATCTATGCGCTCCTGCTTTATTCAAATTGTCATGATATATAGTAACTCAGACCTTGCATTTATCTTGGTCATAAACTTGTGCAGAATCCTTGAAAAGAAAATTCGGGGATCAAATTTCTACAGGCCAACCTTGTGAATCTCCTGTTCTTAGTTGACCATTGTGACGGAATCATTTTTTTTCTTTCACTTAGCCGTAACACACTGATCAGACTGCTATGGGAGTTCTGCCTGTGAGATTTTGTGAAGATTGAAGGTAGAACTCAATTTATTGAATCATACGTTACTACTGTACAAATATTAATTTTCATGTTACGCCTGCAATTTCTAAATAATCTCGTGTTTGGCGCTTTTCCTTTGGGAATTGATTTTTGCACACTCCTGTCTGATCTTCTTTCTCATTTATTTATTTTCATTTTATTTTATTTTTTGGTTTTTCTTTTTGAAAGAATACCCTTGATGGAAACATATTTTCATTGAGTACTACTTGACACAACAGAAATATGTTTTCGTTGTGTTTTAACTGTTTGTATCTTGTTGTAGACAATAGAGACACCTATATCAGTTAACAATACCACCAGGATAAAGACACCTACACATTTAATAAGCAGAATATGCAAAGTGGTATGAAATTATTAGTCTTGCAACAAAGACAATGTAAAAATAACATAATTACAAGTAGTCTCTAGTATTATCTACATATTCATGTTTCCAAGTAACAAATAAAGATTGAAATATGTGATATGACCTAAATGTGGAGTTATCTATGTATGGATGAGCATTATGATACAATATCATTCCCATACAAAGCAATAGGAGGTAGCAGAATTCCATCCTTTAAATAAACATATATAAGAGGAAACAACAATTAAAGTTAGTGATTCACATATAATAGATATCATTAAAATTGTTAAATAATAGTTCAACATGTTATACTTGACAATGACAACCACGAACAAATTAAAATTGCTAAATAATAGAATTTAACATATTATACATCTTGGACAATGGCAACCATGAACAAATTCAATGAAATAATACGATGATATGAAGGATATGATTGATGACCCCTTAGAGATAAAATGTCATCCTTCTGAGTATGGATAAATGGACCAATACCATGTTATATACGGAACTAATAACATAACTCATGTTTAGAATGTTCATCCACTCATCACCTTGTAACTGTGTCCTTGTCAACATACAGACACTTGTTGCTTAAAGCAGAAGAGTTGTACATATTCAACATGAATCAAGAAAGACATGAGCTCAACTTTCTTTACCTCTGTCAAGTAATACCGCAATGGCACAATAACCATAATGTATTCCAAGTCACATCAAGTTTCAAAAATTACTTTAACAAAGCATAAATTTTACGAGAATGCAATAACTATTCCCAAGAATCATCTATTCCATGCACAGAAAATGTTATCCTCTTCCATTGTGCATGAATGGACCAAGACAATATTTGGACAAACAAGTTATTGAATCTAGCAAGTTTGCATGCACAACGTATAGTTTATTATTTTTAATACCAGGTTCAACATCATATATAGTACTAGGCAGTATAGTTTATTATTTTAAAAGAAAATAGTTATTCCATGACAATATAAATAATTATTCTTAATTTCTTATATTCACAATATTTATATATCAGAACATATTTTTATGGTGATATTCTTTAGCGAGCTTTGAGTATTCAGAGAATAATTGTCAAGTTGTTCTTAATAGTGACACCCACCCCCTCCTCCTCGAAAGCATCTTGAGGTCGTGGAACTCTATGACATTGATCAGACCGTTGAAAATTCTTAAAATGGTAACCATGGTTTACGCGCATTATCATTTTCTTCTTGCATGAAAAAGTAGTTAGCAAGTTGGATTAGCTCAATTGAAAGGTTTTGTGATTACAGTCTTATAGCATCGCCATCTTGAGCGATACCTCAAGGGGTGCTCTGGCTTCAATTTTTCATCTAATAATTAGGAAATGCTAACTGATAAAATTGCAAATTTGTAAATTAAAAAGAAACAGCTGTCTTACAATTTATGCATGTTAGGAATTTTACTCCTTTATCCTTTTCCGAAGGTTATTAAAAAAGGGAAAGTTGTCTGTAAAAGTAAAACACTTGCTGAGATGTTGGAACTGGCACCACAAAAGCGTCAGTTCCTGGAATTTTCTAAAACCAAGCGTTACATCAAACCGTTAACTAAAGTTTTGCATGCAATCATATGGCTTCTTCAAGAGTTACTGGTTTTCCAAAAGTATTCAAAATTATTCCCCCCACACAATAATCAATCAAACAAAATCATTCTCTGAAATCTCTGATCAACTGGTCCTTAGTGTTCGGTGGATTTCTTTTTTCCGATGACTTCATTTATAGTAGACAAACTCTACTAATTTGTTGGTTTAAGATTGCATGAAACTTTAAAGAATTGCAACCTCATACTATAACATTAATTTTCTACTTTTACTATTTCTTTTTTAGGTTTCAATGTGATACATTGTTAGTATAAATAATTTATACTATTTATTAATAAAAAATTATTGTTAATGTGATTTTTAATATAATTATTATAAAAATTTACAATCTTATTATACATGATAATTTATGATAAATAATAATATAAAACAATTTTATATTATTAAAACATGTTTTTTTTTCTCTTTAAACGAAGAATGACTATAAAGATTAGAAAATCTTTGATAAGATTTATAAAGATCCTCTTATAAGAATTAAAAGGAAGAGTTAATTAATCTCCAACTCATACTTAAATAGTGTCAAAACTTCAATATTATTTAAATATGTCAAAGCTTGCATTTTTATTTAGAGTTTATTTCAAGAAGGCTAATTCTAAAGATACATAAACAAATGGTCCAACACACCTTCATTAGTGGTTCCAAGTTTGATTTTTAGGTATTAAATGCATTAAATAATTAGATAAAAATTTGTCTCATAATGATCTTACATAGATCAAACAAAATTGTCTCTAATAAATAATTAGAATATACATGTAGTGTATGCAATTTTTATTTATTTATTTAATTAACGTAATCATCTAATTAACATGAAAACCATTATATGTTTATAATTATCTAATTTATGCTACTAATTAAGTAAATTATTCAGCTAATATAAGAATCTATACGACCAAATCTTTTAACATATTTGTTTAGATTACAAACAACTTTTTGATGTGCGTTTGGAATTCAATTTAAAACAAAATGTATACATGACATTTTTTGGACGAGAAAATTAATCTTCGTAATTTCTAAAATTATTAGCATATTTGGTTGCATGTTGTTGATGTAAATTTTCACGTTTGAACAAAAAAAAAATGTTGTAACTTCCACGAAGCTAAACTGACGTGATTCTTGCTTTTAGACGAGTTTCCAAACATCACTTTATACAAAACATGAAAACTAAACATGCTAATAGTCAAATTAGAGATTGACATTTTTAGCATAAATCAAATTTGAATTCATGTTATAAATCAAAAAGACTAGTCGATATAATCGAATCATAAATGGATTACGCTTTCCATTTAAACATTCGATTCAATCATAAATTAGTATAATTATAACTCTCATACAAAAATTATCCCATTTTCGTGTTATATTTTTATTAAAAAAATCAAACAACATAATTAATAATAAAAAATAAAAAAAACCTTGGTGGCAGGTTAATTAGTAGGTGTAGCATGGTGAGGGAATGAGGAGAGGAGGAGACAAATGGCACCGAACATGCACAATGTCATACTAAACAAAATTACAGTGGTACCCTCATTGGGTCCTAGCCGTTACATCGACTCACTGTATCAATTTACACATCGGTCATTTGAAAAGCAAGAAAGGGCATTTCCGTAACTCCAGCCATCACTCCGTAACTCCTCCTTCCTCCTTTGTAGTTTTCCCCCTCTCATTCACTCACTCACTCACTCACTCCCACTTCACTCCCAACCAAACAACGCAAATTCCAATCACACGCAAACACTTCTCTCTCTCCGCCAGGTTAGGGTTAGGGTTCGTTTCGATCATGGCTTCGTCTTCCTCCGATCCGGCGAAGTCCGCGGAGACATCGGAGGCGGCGGCCACGGCCACGCCCAGCGACCAGCTCTTGCTCTACAGAGGATTGAAGAAAGCGAAGAAGGAGAGAGGTTGCACCGCCAAAGAGCGCATCAGCAAAATGCCTCCCTGCGCCGCCGGCAAACGGAGTTCCATATACCGAGGCGTCACTAGGTACTTCCTATTGTTGCAACCTTTAACTGAATCTGTGTTCTGTAACTGAATTTGTTGAGGTGATGATTAGACATAGGTGGACTGGTCGTTACGAAGCTCATCTTTGGGATAAGAGTACGTGGAACCAGAATCAGAATAAGAAGGGAAAGCAAGGTTCGGTTCGGTTCGGTTAATAATGGATTCTGAGTTTTAGGTTCCAATTCGTGTAAAGGTGAATTTGCTAACGTCTTTCTTTTTCTGTTGTTCGTGGATTGGTTGCTTGGACAACGGTTCATTCGTGGTGGCGCCAGTTTACTTGGGTGAGTTTGCAATCCACTGCTCGCTTCACTTGTTCTTCATCGTGCTTGAATAAACTTCTATATGGCAAAATGAATATAGCTTCTTTCACGCCTTAACTTTTGAAGAAATTAGATGAAAGATGGTTTTATAACAGTTTAAGTGTACACAGGATAAGTTTAATTTAATTTATTTATTTTTGTTAAGAAATTTATCCAAACATGGTCTTAGACTTTTGCTTATCATCATCATTGAACTTGCTGGTGCCGCATCTTTTAGTAAGGTAATGATGTTTGTTGTTGATGGATTTTGGACAGGGGCGTATGATGACGAGGAAGCAGCGGCTAGAGCATATGATCTTGCTGCTCTCAAATATTGGGGTCCTGGGACTCTCATTAACTTTCCGGTATGTTAATAATGAAAATGGTGTCTTACTAATTTTATGTTAATTTTGGACTATTGGGTATGATATCTATGAGATCTTTGACTAAGGCATAGATTCTGTGTTCTTTGCTAGGAAGAGGGTGTTAGTTAATCACTTCTGGTGAAAATAATGATTTTTTTTAGTACTTTTGATGTGTGTGCTGCAGGTGACTGACTATACAAGAGATCTTGAAGAAATGCAGAATGTGTCCAGAGAAGAGTACCTTGCATCTTTACGAAGGTGTGTGTATACATACTTCACAATGTTTTCTAACATTGTATCCTACTACTGCTGCTTATGCGTGATGCTTTCTGCAGGAAGAGCAGTGGCTTTTCAAGAGGACTCTCAAAATATCGTGGACTCTCCAGGTGTGAATCTATCAATTCATTTTTTACGGAAATTGTCGGAAGTTAATCTCTTATTTATATCTACATCTCTTGGGTTTGGGTGGGTATGTGTGTGGAGCTAGTTCTACTCTGCTTTGCTACACAGCTATTTTTTTTAATGATCTGGTTTGGTTGTCATTCATCCAGTATATGGATTCTAACCTGGATTTGAATGCTAACTTCATTTTGCATGTGGTGTTGCCAAAATTAGTCGATGGGAGCCATCATATGGCCGTATGGCTGGATCTGATTACTTCAATAGTATACATTATGGTATGTTCTAATCAAATTTCAAAGTTTAAGCTAATCTTCTACTAAACATAGTTATATGGATCATGTTCATCTGTGCACTGCCTATGGCTGTGACTATTTGAGAAATAAAAACATTATTCAACTATTTCCACCTGTTTTATATGCAAGGTCACTATCATCTCACTGTTATACAACATTACTGGTGCAGGGGATGATTCAGCCGCAGAAAGTGAATATATAAGTGGTTTCTGTATAGAAAGAAAGATTGATTTAACTAGTCACATCAAATGGTGGGGATCTAATAAGACTCGACATTCTGACACCGGAACAAGATTATCAGAAGAAAGGAAACTTGGTTCTACCGGAGATATTTGCAGTGAACTTAAGCAATTAGAACAGAAAATCCAACCTACAGAACCTTACCAGATGCCACAGTTAGGCCTGCCCCTCAATGAGAAAAAGCATAGAAGTTCTTCGGTCTCTGCCTTAAGTATCTTGTCTAAATCTGCCGCTTACAAGAGCTTGCAAGAGAAAGCATCAAAGAGACAGGAAAATAGCACTGATAATGATGAGAACGAAAACAAAAATACAGTCAACAAGTTGGATCATGGCAAGGCAGTTGAGAAACCATCAAATCATGGAGGCAATGATCGGCTTGACATTGCAATGGGAATGAGTGGGACAATGTCTCTTCAAAGAAATGTTTACCCATTGACACCATTCTTGTCTGCACCACTTTTGACAGCCTACAATACTGTTGATCCATTGGTAGATCCTGTTCTGTGGACATCTCTTGCTCCTATACTTCCTGCTGGCCTTTCTCGTACAGCTGAGGTTGGTATAGTTACCAAATGTTTACTTTCTTTTGGACAATTGAAATTACATGAAATTTATTTAACATTGCTAAAATAGTAGCAAATAGTAAACCATATCGTAGATCAGGTCCAACTGATATTCAAAACGAACAATTCATCGACTTTGATAGAAAACTCATTATGAAAAACACAAATGATCTATCTGCATGAGTTTGTATGTGTGTACTGTATATTAATTTGTTCTCACTAAAATCTTATTTGAATTATTACGTGTACTTTTTTTGAAGTCTGTGATTTCATGTTTATGAAGCCACCAAGGTGGTGTCAGCAAATATAATTTGTTATCTCTTGGATGAATGAATGTAATTTTAGGCAACACATTTTTATGAGTTCTTATCACTTTTTCCTAAACCTCATTGAAAAATGATCCTTTTCTTTTTATGTTGACAACTTGTGGATAACCTATGGATGAAGTTTTGAATTAGTGTCAGATAATTGTAATTTTAGATACATCACTCGCTAATATTTCAAGTCTTGTTACTTACTAGAGATTTGGTTGCCAAAATTTTTCTAATTATCATCTAACGGTTTATAGAGGAAAAGCAGCCCTATGGTAGTTTAACTTTATCTGACAAGCAGCCCTATGGCAGTATAACTTCATCTGACAATTATAAGGTGCCGGGACAATAATTGTTCATTCAAAATCATCAGTTACACGAAACAATTGATATATCTCCCTTAAGCCCCGGGTGATTATATATATTGTACTACTATGGTAAGATGAAAATTGCTTATGACAGTCTTGTAGATTCACCTTACCAAGAACAATTGGGATTGATGCGCAGGTTACAAAGACCGAGACCAGTTCAACGTACACTATGTTTCAGCCAGAGGAATGATTGGACATTTGAACTTCTAATTGAAGAAAGACAAGCACCTGAAAAGGCAAGCCGAGCTTGTATTAAACAAACAACACCATAAAGGTCTGAAGCGCTCAAGCAGGTCTTAGAGAATGCTCCCATGGCTTTTTTTTGCAAGCTTACATGGGTTTCAGAGGTCAGAGAAAAGAAAATATTGCCGTTGTTTTACATCGATGATGAATATAGAATTTGCACCAATCTTTTCATTTCAAGTCTTATGTATCCGTTAACATCTCTATCATGTATATGCAGTCAATAGTTGGACAAATTTTGATTTTACGCGGAATGTTCTGTAAAGAGGTGGAATTATGCTAGGACGTGGTCGTTAATTGATGTTCTGTACAGAATAAGAGATGGAATATGCAAGGACGTGGTCGTTAATTGATTGGCGTATGAGTTTTTCAGGCGCTATTTTATTTTATCAATGTAACTGTTAGGGGTGAAAATATACTGGTTAAATTAAATTGGTCTGTTATTTTAGTCTATATATATTGATATTACAAAAAGGTATAAAAAGATGAATTAATGAATTACAAAATTATAAAAAGATGGAGGAATTATTTAAAAAAATTAATTTGGAAAGAAAAATTTTAAAATATATTTTAAAATTCAAAATTATAAGAATATAATGGTAAATTAGACTTTTTTTAATCTAAATAAGGTTTTTAACGTCTTTCCGTTCTTTCTATGAAAATTTTTCCTCCTCTATTTTGGTATTAAAAGATTTATGTGAGTTCATTCTCGAAATTTATTAGAATGGGATAGATCTCTAGGATCGATAAATGTTTATAGGAATATTTATATATTATTTGTCAATAAGGTCTTTATATTAGGAAAATGAGATATGCATTTGATTTTTTTTATAAAATGAATTTTTTTTTTTATCAAATGAGGGAATCTTTATTGTTAATTTTTTTTTTCACTTTGAACAAGTCTTAATAAAACTTTAGAATGTGTTTGAATGAAGAATTAAATTTTTTTTCACTTTGAACAAGTCTTAACAAATCTTTAGAATGTGTTAGAATGAAGAATTTAAATAAAGTAATTTAATTTTGGCTTAATTGTATTTTTGGTCTTTCTAATTTAGTGTAGGAGCAATTTTGGTTCTCATAATTTGAATTGCTTAATTTTGATTCATAAATTCAAATAATAGGCAATTTTAGTTCCACAAATAATTTACCATCCAAAATTTAACGGACGTTAATGACGTGGATTTTATGCTAAATAAACATTAATTATATATTATTTAAATTTTTACGTGGCAAATTATTTAATATTGATATCAATAGCAGTAAATCATTAAAACTAAAAAACATGAAATTATTAGTAAATGCAAGCAGCAAAGTTTGAATCGACGGAAAGGTAATTTATAGTGGTGGAGCAGTTCGTTCAGCCCATGTTCCTCGACGGTCTGTTTTCTCATCCTCGGTTGTTTCTTCTCGCCCTACCCATAGGACCATTCTACCCTCTCACAGGGGCTGAACGAATTGCTCCACCACTATAAATTACCTTTCCGTCGATTCAAACTTTGCTGCTTGTGTTTACTAATAATTTCATGTTTTTTAGTTTTAATGATTTACTGCTATTGATATCAATATTAAATAATTTGCCACGTAAGAAATTAAATAATTTGTCACGTAAGAAATTAAATAATATATAATTAATATTTATTTAGCATAAAATTCACGTTATTAATGTTCGTTAAATTTTGGATGGTAAATTATTTGTGGGACTAAAATTGCCCATTATTTGAATTTATGGATCAAAATTAAGTAATTCAAATTATGAGGACCAAAATTGCTCATACACTAAATTAGAAAGACCAAAAGTGCAATCTAAGATATTTATAATTTTTTTTAACATAATAGACTTTCAAATTCTTTATAAAAATTAAAAAATATTTTTTTTCTTATTTTTTCCTTTTTATTATCTCTTTCACCTTTTATATTTTCTTTTATCTCATATTCTATTTTTCTCTCTCCTTATCTGCTTTCTCTTTTTCCTTTTTCTCTCTCTCAATTTTTTTAATTATTGAATATTCAAAAACATAATATTTTTTAATTATTAAATAATAAAAATATTTTTAATTATTAAATATTACCTAATATTAATTTTTAAAATTATATAATATTTTAAAATTGGTTAATATTTATTTATATAAAATTTAACCGTAAAATCTCTCTCTATATGTGATAATTTTAATTATAATAAAAATCAAATCATCATATCTAATTATAAATTAAAAATTTATAAAATTTGAATTGACTTATTCAAATATAATATTTAAAAAATAATAAAAATAAAAATAAAATAATTTAAATTTTAATATTTTAAAATTTCTCACCCATGCATACCATTATTCTTTAAAGGAAAATATATGATATACTAATAAGCACAGCTAAGTGAAGCAAAGCACATTAAGGAGAGAAAGCAAGAGGATTCGAACTTGAAAGTTAAGTGAGATTAAATGGAACTAGAAGCGTAACATAATTAGACATCTTAATTAGCGTTTAAGTTTTCATAAAACTGTCACTATTTATATCTGTATCGGAGTGAGACGAGATAATGATTGTGACATCGACATTCTCATCAACTCTTCATTTATGTATTTATCGCCAAAATTTGAATATTTATTACACTGTAGTGTCTGGACAAGTGGCAATTACCACATGCCATTGAAGACATCAAATTTGACTCACCTCAAACTTCAATTAAGCGTATGTTTCACGCCACAACCCCCACTCTATCAACCTCCAGCCACCCCCTTCCTCTCTTTCTAGCCCTACACAATGTTTGGTGTCAACACCCTAAACAAAGTATATTAACTTTTCTCTCTTTTTTTATTCAATATGATCAAACATTGTTAAGTGCATGGTTCTGTATATTCAATTTTGGAAGGAAGTCAGAAATTTGATAGTAATTGAAAATGAGGTTTGTTTAGAGGAGATTAGGAATATGGTTGTCTTGGATTGGTTAGAACATTTAACATTTTTCTTTTGTTGCCATCCATTGAAAAGTTCCAAAAAACAACTATTATATTTCATAAGACTTTGGTATAATATAAAGAAAAAAGGCATAATTGTAAACTTAGTGTCGATGGTATTATATTTATTTGGTCAATTTTTTTATTATTCATGGTAATAAATAAAGATTTGAATTCGAATTCAAGAGTTTTTAATGAATAAATAGTTTATAATCTTATTGTATTTTTTTAATTGACGTTGATTTATCCTAAATAAAAAGTGAAGAATGAAATGTTGTCCTATTGTTTTAGACAAAAATATAAAATTCGTATGGAGTTCAATGTTTGAAGATAACGAGGAAACAACTGCTCTCTCCACGCTAGAATGTTTGAAGATAATGATGAGAATATTCATAATGCAACTTGCACTAATTAAAATAAAAACATAAAAGAAAAAAATCGCGAACGAAGATATAACTCTTTGAAGATAATAGAGCGCGCAATGCATTGTTTTTCATTTCTCGCGAGAAGAGAAGAGGTTAGAGGAGGACTCACCGGCGCGCCAAGTCTCAACCGAAAAAACATGGCATATTCGTGACGACTGAAACACTTTTGTTAATTAATTTCCTTCGAAAACTAACAAATATATAATAAATAAATATGGCCTCCACTTATCCAAATTTCAGTTGTTTGTTTCTCCCTCTTGCACTTTTCGCACTATTCACAAAACAATAATATATTAAAAATATAAAAATACAAGGTTGGTGGGTGTCGCTATTTTCCGTTTAGTTATTATAAGCTATAAGCCTCCACCTTCTCCCACTTCAACGTCAAGCGTACGCTGCACACTTGTTCCTCCTCAGAACCAGAATCGCTTGGCTTCTGGTTCTAGGGTTTCGCCGCCATGGGAACTGCGTCCAGGCAGTTGAAGGTCATGCTCCGCAAGAACTGCCTCCTCAAAATTCGTCACCCTTTCGTTACTGCTGCTGAGGTCTCTGCTTTTTCTCTACTCTATTAGCCTTCCGTGTTTACCTCTCACTCCGTTTCATCACTTTCATTCTCTGCTTAATTTATTAATAATGTTTCTTTTATAGTATATGTATCTCTGTGTTTTACTTTTCTTATGTATGTATAAACATTTTTTTTTGTTTTCGAAGATGTGTTTAGGGTTCTGCATGTGTGTGTGTGTGTGTGTGTGTGTTTGTTTGTTTCTCTTTTCCAAGTGCATTTCAATTTGGAGAATACCGGAATTCTGATGCTTATTGCTAAATTAATGGCAGATTTTGCTCCCTACGATTGTGTTGTTGTTGTTAGTAGCTGTAAGGACGCAAGTGGATACACAAATTCATCCAGCTCAACCGTCGGTGTTTCTATTCATTGCTTTGTGTGTGTGTGTTTATTTTTTCCCTGTCCTCTGTTGTATTGAGAACTAACGAAGGTTTTAATTTAGTTTTTTAAATATGAATTTTGAATACTGGTATATTGAGAGAGTAAAAAGTAAATGGAAATTATTTTAGGCAGATGGTCTATGTGGAGGGAAATGGAAGTGGACGTTGTTCCTTTTTTGAATAATTTTCACATTGAATATTTTGTGAGGAGTAAAGTTTGTATGGAAATGGAGCAGGCACATTCAAAAAGATATGTTTGTGGAAGTAGGAAAAGGTATATCCCCCAACTTTCAACAAGTTTTGGCATCATTGTTGGAAAGTGGAGAGTATTTAGCTTTTGTACCAGATACCGATGAGACAAAGCTGTTGATAAATGTAGCATCGACAAAATTTCCACTCTTGAAGGTACCCATTCATTCGTTCATTGTCTTATAGTATTTCATTTTCTAGGCTTAATTTATCCCTGATATGTGGCTGAAATATTTTACTTTGATTCCTCTAAATTGCTGAACTGTGTACTCCCTTCCAAGCTTGAGCTGTTATATGATTGACTGCTTGAATAAAGTTTATCCCTGTGTCAAATGTAAGAGCAAGTCTTTGCAAAATTGATTTTAAAGGAATGCGATTTATTTTTGATGTTTTATTCTATAAGAAATTTAGTAGGAAAATTCAGTATAATTTTTTTTATCCAAAACAAAAGCTACCTAAAGTTCCTTCAACTAAAAATCAATTTTAGCACGAGAATCAATTTCTCAACATGAAACCAAGCATGAATTTTGCCTAAAATCATGTTGTTTGGTATTTTAGTGTGATTCTAAAAGACCCAAGGTGAATCCAAACATGCACTTAGTTGCTGTCACTGGTTTTTCTGGAATACAAAACTCAATGAAAAAGTATTTTCCAACATGGACATTCAAGTGCATTTTGATTTCAACCAACATTTTCTATGAAAAATTATTAAATGATTGAGATTGTGATTATCAGGAAGATCTATCATAAAATACAATTTACTTTTTGCACTATTTCATTTTATACAAGTCTTCTCGTAAAAAAATAGACTTGGTATTTGCGAAAAAGTTAACTAGTGTATACAAAAAAAAATGTTAACTAGTGACTGCCATTATTTTAGAAAGGCTTGGTTTCTCACAGCACCACACCAGCCTTTTTATTGTTTTCTTTGTGGGAGGAATCAAAATTTGACAAAAATTAAATGAGTATTTTATTTTTATTTTTTTATTTTTTATGAAAGAGGTAGGTTGCAAACTAAAAATGCCCACTCTATGTATACAGAAGTCATTGTCCTGCTAAATTAAAATTAAGTTACAGCTTTATTTCTTTGTCCCCTTCCCTCACTTTAATTTTGGAGTATCTTCATGCAGCTAAATCTATCTTCAATCAAGTTGTCTTGGAACTTTTATCCTTTCTGAATTTGTACATTAAGCAGATAAATGTATTCTCTGTTCATTTTCTGAAAGGTAGTAATGTCTCAAGCTAATTAAAATTCTGTTCCTACCTTCAGCTAGTTAGTAGAGTATACAAAGATGAGGAAGAGTTGGAAACATACATCCGCTCAGATGCTTATGGTAGCTTCAATCAAGCAAGGTAAAATCCTTTTGCCATTTTGGCATAAGATCCTACTGGAATGGTATGTTATTTTATTTACGTATTTCATTGGTTATGAGGAAAAAAATACATATTATGTCACTAGGAGAAATGATGGATTCTGACAAGCCAATGTAGGATAATTTTTGTGATATCTTGTTGGGGCGTAGGCCCAGCTGAGAGAGGCCCATCCCAGGAAAACGAGTGGAAAATGTATACTAGGAGAAAGGAATAATAGGCTGACTGTTATTTGAACTGTTAAAATAATAATGGGAATTAGGGTAATTATACACACACACACACATACATATAGGAATGCTGCACTTGTCAATGCTAATTTACAATTTATTCTTATTGATTAACTGAATCATTCAGTTGTAAGGAAACAGTCTCCTTGGAGAGCCACGCAATAATACTGATTCTTTTTCGAATTTTTCTCCTAATTGCTCTTTTGTGCTGCTGTAAAATTGTTCTTTCTGTGCTATACCATATCTACATAATTTTGAGTTTCAGGATATTGTGGTTTAAGTTGCTTCATAGATATATTTTTTTTTATTTCTTTATTAGTATTCTGGGTTACCATCAGTGTGAATTCTTATATGCTTCATTTTTGTAAACAACCTCTCCTATCAAATAAAGCTTGTGCATTTCTCTTTTATGTTACTTGAAATTTGGTTCTTAGCATACTAATTTGTGCAGGCTTTTATTCTAATTTGTGTTGCATGAAATATGAATACATGGACATTTATGTTGAGTGATCATGATGCATGTCTCTTGTTATATATTTTTCACATGGAAGAAAAAATTAGTCACTTGTTTTTTCTCTTTTTCTCCCCCACTGTAGTTACTTTCTTTTTCTCATTTTCTCAATTTCTTTTTCTCATATATATATATAATATTTTTTTTCTATAAAATGGAAAATTTTCATATGACTACCTCTTTTAGATTATAACTTTTAGTTTTAGCAATGTCTTCACAGTAATTTTATTTGCTAAAATGACGCTTTTATTTGAGCCATTTGAAATTTTTTGAGAAGCTTACAGATGGGTTGTTTTACTGATTACTTTTATTTGTTTCCCTTCTACCTGTTTAGGAATTGTTCAAATCCCAAAATTAAAGGAGCAGTTGTGTTTTATGAACAAGGTCCTCAGTCATTTGATTATAGCATACGCCTCAATCATACGTGGGCTTTCTCTGGATTTCCAGATGTTACGACAATAATGGATACAAATGGCCCTTTTCTTAATGACTTGGAACTTGGTGTTAGTGCTGTACCAACAATGCAATACAGCTTCAGTGGGTTTTTGACTGTATGTTGCTTTATTCTCATTTAATTTCTTATTTGTTCTTGGCTCTTTCCCCCTATTTTATTACCTCTATTAAGTATTTTTGAAATAATCTATAGTGGATGATCAGTATATTGCAGTAGTTGGAAAGTCCAATGTCTACGGAACCCAATTACTAAAATGTATTGTAGAAAGAGTAAGAGACTAGAGGGGAATTAGGCCCATGGGCCAGTGTAACATACATTTAATTAGTTAGACAATTAATTAGTGACCATTAGGCAGTTTGGTAATATAAATAAGGGAAAAACTACTCTGTATTCAGTTTTGGGAAATTCACAGTTTATAAATCTCAGCTATTAAGCAATAAGAGACTTGTTTTGTCTTCTCACTCGTCTGTGTATTGAATTCTTGTTTGATTAATTCTGGACCAATCTATCAACTGGCATCAAAGCTCAATCTGGGCAAATGCATCAAAAGAAGAACGTGATGGTAGGCAAGAAAATGGAAGGGAGGATTGAAATTGTGAGAAAATGAGAAAGTAAATTTTCTAAACGTGCTGGAGTGAATTTTTCACTCAGCAGATTAATCTATTTATAATAAGAATGGTTATGACGACAATAAATGACTACAACTATTTTCAAGAGAACAATTAAAATATCACAACTTCCTAATATACATTGAACTCACCTTAACATTAACTAAGCTACTTGGAAGGTTAATAAAAATTCAATGCTTCTATTTTCATTGCTTCCCCACAAGCTGGAGAAATGATGTTTTCTGTTTCCAGATAGCATATTATTCTTTCAAAATCTGGACTGCTCAATCCTTTAGTAAAGCAATAAGTTAACCTTGTGAAGGTAGATACGGATTACAAATCAAACCACTATCCAACTTTTCCTTGATAAGATGTCTATCTACTTCATTGTGTTTTGTATGACCGTGCTGAATAGGACCATGAGCTGTTAATTTCTGACTTCTTTTCATAGTAGAGCTTGGTAGGTCCATCCCATTCAATCTTGAAGTCTTTTAATATGATTTTCAACCAAAGCAGTTTACAAACACCTTGTGCCATAGTTTGAAATTCAAATTCACAAACAAGTTGGAAAGTTTGGTAGTTGCTGGAAAGTTGTCAGAAAGTCTGTCAGATGCCAGAAAAGTAGCAAGAGATTCTGATATGTGCCAGAAAAGTTGCCACTTGCCAGGAAATTGTGGGAGTAGTCAGGAAGTTGCTGGAAAATTCTGACGGTTGCTGGAAAAATTCCAGTTGATTTTTTGGGCGTCTAACAACTTTCAAGAGCCTGATCTTTCAGAAACTTTTTTTGCGGAAGCAGATTCCCCCTTTAGATCGGGAGCTGTGATACCATGTGAAAAAATGAAAAAAGAAAATTTTCTAAATGTGCTTGAGTTTCCACTAAGCAGATTGATCTATTTTAATAAGAATGGTTACAAAGACAATAAATGACTACACCTATTTTCAGGAGAACAATTAAAATATCACAATTTCCTAAGAGATACATTTAACTCAGCTAAACATTACTAAGCTACTTAGAAGGGTAATAAACATTAAATGCTCATATTTCCAACAAAAACTATGGAGAGGACCTTGGAAAATCTGAGTATAACTATTTGTGAGTGTTGGAGATCCCACATCGACTAGTGATAAGACTATAATAATGTAAATAAGTGAAAATAATTCTTATCTTATAAGTTAATTTTGTAAGTTTAAGTTAGACTCCAATCCATTTTTTTAAGAGTGAGGCACTTAGGAGGCTGGAAGCAATGATGGTGCTGTCGATGCAAAAGATGGATGCAAGTCTGAAAAAGCTGAAGGGGAGAGGGGGGAGAATCTGTTATTGAATGTGCAGTGAGACTGCAAGAGTGATGGAGGAGGCTAGAGATACCCACATTTGGTGGAAATGAAGATGTTGTAGGTTGGGTTCATAAGGTGGACTGGTGGAGTGTTATTTCAGGATTCGATGGGCAATGGATGATGAAATCTAGAAATGGTATTGGTTGCCTAGAGGGAAAGGTCTTGGGCTGATTCAACTGGTGTGAATGAGGGAATTTTGCTTTCTTTTGTCTTTCCTTGCTTCCATTTGTTATGAATTTACATCTTAATTGCATCTATTTGTGAATTTGATATCTATACTTTGTTACACTTTTAACGCATTTATATTTTCTTGCTCTGTAGCTCCAGCAAATGGTTGATTCATTCATAATATTAATAGCGCAACAGTCTGACTTAAATGTCAATGCTGAAAGTTTAGAGCTTCCTCTTCCAGGATACTATGACACTAATTTCTCTTTGAAAAGTCCATGGACTCAGTTTAACCCTGCTCACATACGAGTAGCTCCATTTCCTACTCGAGAGTACACTGATGATCAGTTCCAGTCAATAATAAAGAAAGTCATGGGAATATTGTAAGTTTGTCCTGGAAACCTTTGTTTTATGTTTAGAGTATTATTATATTATATCTCAAACAAGCTATTCTTTTTAATGGGGATTTGCATGTGCAGGTACTTATTGGGGTTTCTCTATCCAATTTCTCGCTTAATCAGTTATTCTGTGTTTGAGAAGGTTTAGTTATCTTTTGTTTAGTATCAGCTTTTTAATTTACCTATGCTATGAGTTAAGATGTCCTGCATAGGCTAGGAATATGGCTAGAACATTCCTTTTAAGACTTGGGCAATCCTTTTCCCTCAAGCTAGTTTTGGGAATGAATTAGATCTAATCCATTTTTAATAAGATATGAGAACCTAGTATTGGGCTATATGCAGATGTTTAGTCTTGCAAATTGCATGCGCTAGATGTCTAGTTCTGGGTGTAAGAGGTGTGTGTTAAGATGCCCTATATTGGCCAGGAATATGGCTAGATTACTCCTTAAACGAATTTGGCAATCCTCTTCCCTTGAGCTGACTTTTTGTGAGGGAGTTAGGCCTGATCCGTTTCTAATGCCCTTCATTATCTGTTTTCCCTCCTTTTTTTTTTTTTTTTTTCCATTAATATTATTTCTTAGATATTAGAAGCCATCTTCTCTTGTTATGTTTGTAACTTCTTATTGATGTATTATTTCAGGAACAGAAGATTAAAGAGGGACTCTATATGATGGGCCTGAAAGATGGCATATTTCATCTTTCTTGGTTTATCACATATGCTTTGCAGGTAAATCTATTGTTATTCCATATGCTAGCTTTTTCTTCTTTTGCCTTTTATTTTGTTTACTTTTATACATTCTTGGTATCAGTCAGGATGAGAATTGAACTTGAAACTTTACTACCCTAATGCATTGTTTGGTTTAAAGAAGAGGATTTTGGTCCTTTCCCCTCCAAAATGTTGAACCAAACGAGGGTTGTTATAAAAATCCCTCCCTTCCCCCACCTTTTCTTTCAATGAAACACAATGTAAATGAGATATTCCACCAAGTCAGAGATGCAGGTTTCAATTCTTCTCAATATCTGTTTAGTGATTTGGCTTCTCATACTTAAATTTTCTGCATTTTGAATGATATTTTAACTTTCTGTCATTGTTCTTCTCCACTTTTCTCTTAGTGAGCTCTCTGACTCATGGTTTTCATTAGGTGTTTTCTCATTTGGGGTTTCAAAGAAATTGGAATTAATTTAATTGATGATTAAAGTTTTATTCATTTTATCACCTTATTTTTTTCTCCGGCAAATGCATGTTGAGAAGTTTATCCAACTTGAGTCATTGTCAACTCATCAAGAACAAAAGGGATCTTGTATAAAGGCTAGTGTTCGGGATAATATAATACACTTTATGGCCTACATCTAGAAGCTTCATTAGGAGTGTTGGTCCTTGGCATGCCCTATTAAAAAGTTGCTTAACACTAAAAATTCTAACAAGAGAAATAAGGTAGAACTAGATGTTAATTAAAATTATGAAGTGGAAATTATATTAAAGCCTGGGTTTTAAGTTTTATTGAAATGACTAAATTTGGATTCCAGTTAAGGGGCCTTAATTGAGATATGAGGCTTAATTGGGCCAAACTTGGATATCAGTTAAGGGGCCTTTGGAAGAGATTCTATCGAACTTCTTTGTGCTTTAGGAAAATGACTTATGACTCCTATAAGTTCTTTTTAACTTATTTTACCAAGTTTCTCGGGGAATCTTATAAAGTAGGTGACATGGGAAAACTAGAAGTGTACAATTGTTGTCAATTAATAAGTTATTGAAGCAACAGTTTTATGATTTCCAATTTATCGTAATTCAAGAAGATAAAATGAGAATATTGTTTGATTAGAAGAGATAATATTGAGAATTAAATAAGGGGTAAAAAAAATTATAATAGAGAAAGAATATCAAGAATGAGGGAAAATCAAATATGAGAAAACTTCCAAAATTGAGGGTTTACACAATGAAGCTTGCTGGATTAATTTCCTTACCAAAGTGTTCTTATTAGTTCTCTTTGAAGGTGAATTAACTCAAGGTAACTTTCATTCCCTTTCAAGACATGGAGGTGTGACAAATTGAATTGACCCTTACTTTTGTGATACCCTTACTTTTGTGATGGTTATGTTTAACAAAACCCATTTTTCTTTTTGTTAATTCATTGATTTCTTGAAGAATTAACCTCACTTTCATGATTTAAAGGCCAAGCCTTTTTACTATGGTTCTAACGATTAGATTCACCTTTCAGATCTTTGCTAGGTACCCTATATTATGAAAAACAATGATCAAATGCTTTGTATAAAGAAAAATTGATAGAGAAAGAAGAGGAGAACTCAATAAAACACAAAATAATTCAATTATAACATTCAATAGTCATAAAGGGCTAGACCCCAATCCTATAAAAAGAATGAATACTTAGGCATAGTCATGGAGAAAGTAAAAAAAAGAAAAAAAGAAAAAAGAGAGGAACATACAAACCCACAATCTCCAAAAAGAGGAGGGAGAAAAGAAGAATCCCGATTCCAATCCCGAGTTTAGAGGTGTCACCTCTAAGGGTTTCGTTCTTTGAACAATCCCTAAAAGGTCTTTTTATATTTGGGGTACAAAAAGATTCCAAGCTCAACCAAAAAAGATAAATCACAGAAACAGAGCACTGCAGCACATGTCACGTTTGTTGTCATTGTCACGACCAGGCTGTGGGAGTCCACCAAAATTGTAGATAAATTTATCCTTGAAATTTAGGCATTGGTCTTGTGTTGTTTTGATTCAGATACAACCCAAGATATGCTAAAAACACTGCACCTATATTAGATTGTTTAGATAGAACATCAACTTTACCTTCAGGCCTAATTTCCTTTAAAATCCAAGCTAAATTGGATCTGATTCTCTTCATAAAAGTTTAGATCTTTGTTCAATCTTTCTATAAGCACCAAGATCACCTCATAACATTACAGAAACCCAAGTTATGATCAGTTCAATTCCTCTTGATCCAAGCCTCAATGGTGAAAGTCTGAAGAATGTTTGTTTCTTTAACAAAAACATACCCAACATTGTAAATTGGAATTAAGCTAAAACAATAGAAAAAATTCATAAAATCTACCCAAACACATGGAAATATGACAAGAAATGTAACACATGAATAAGCTATTATTTTTAACTTATTTTAATGTTTTTCATTGTAAAATTTATGACATAAGCTCTCATGTGAAAAGGGCTTGTTGAATAAGTGCTTAATTAAGTTGATTACCCAAATGCACCATAAGGGTGGGTTTGAAGAATCTTGCAGATTACACACACAACACACAAAGGTTTCTTTTCCTGAAGTTACTTAATCTTACCTTAAAAGTAGTAAAATTGCATTTTGTTTTTTTTTCTTCCCAAAAAATTATCTAATTATTATAATATTTTAACATTTTTTTATTTAAAAAAAGGCTGATAGGCATATTTTAATAACTATAATAAAGGGTGACTTAGTCCATGAGGTTCCTACCTAGTGGCGTTTGGGGAGGGTAGATATACATAGTCTTAAACTCTTAACTCCTGCAAGCAGGGAGGCTGTTTCCAGAAATTGAACCCGTAATCACCACATCAGTAGCAACCTTACTGTTGCTCCAAGGCTTGCCCTTTGACCCAAATTATAATGATTATATTTGTAAACCTGTTCTAATTAATTGTTGATCTTTTAATACTATAATAAGCTTTAGCTCGATGTTGAGCTTGAATTTCATGAGTTATAAGCATTGGTTGAATTCTTGGTATTCAAGCTTGATTCCCCTAGCTCCTGAATGTGTGTGTTCTTAAATTTTTCTGAAATGGTTTTATTGTGAAAAATGTGGGATTTAACTTTATCTTCGTTGTTGTATTTTCATTTGGGAGTTATGTTGCAAGCCTGTGAAAGAATATGGTTTAGGCCTAGGGAATCTGTTTTCCAAGAATAACACCTTAGGGGCTAAATGGTTGTGGTGTTGTTTGTTTGTCACTAAAATGAAGCTTGTAGATCATCGGAAATGATGGGATGTCTTGCTTGGGGTCGACGCCACTCATGTCAGTGCTTGGAATTTCATTGTGCTTATATACCCTTCTGTTATTTTTTTTGCTTTCTCCGTGACTGGTGAATGGTTTACCTTTCAAGAATTGGAAGGATGAGTGGTTGGGGAGAATCCTTGTTTGTATCTTTTTCTATGTCTGGATCACATTTCCATGTTCTATTCTTTATTCTCTCTCACTATCTTTCTCTCTTTTTTGTATATTTAAGGGGACCTTTTGTACTTGTGATAAAAAAATATATTAGCAAAGAAGCTACTCAATCAGCTTGTACTACTTGGATTGCATGATTAATGAATAAATTGTTAGAATGTTTGATCAGTTTGGAATATGGCCAAATAGTCCTTATAAGACTTAGGTAATCCTAGCCCTTTGAGCTACCTTTTAAGCTTTGATTAGGCCCAATCCATTTCTAATATAGTAGTAGAGTCAAGGTTATCGATGGCGAATAACGGTCTATGGCGGTGAGGCCAGAAATCCTTTATAACTCTATGGCGGATGCCATGGCGGCCTATGGCGGACGTCATGGCGGACAAAAAAAAAAAAAATATATATATATATTTATATATATTATATACAAAAAAAATAGCAAAACAATAAATAACAAGCAAAAAAACTAAATTAAAACCAACATAATATCAACTTAAATACTTAAATATCATAACAATAATACCATAATTCATTGTCTCATAACATAATTGATTAAAACACAACAAAAAACATAGAAAAACAAGAGTACAAGAAGCATTTTACTAATCTAATCATCCTCCTCATCATCATCATTCTCCTCCTCTTCCTCAATGTAATCATTTTCTTCATTGAATGCCAAAGGGGCATAGCCTTCAACTTCTTCACCTTCTGAATTGTCAAAGTTAATATTTGGAAATTCTTCCTCTAACTCCTCACTAATATCTTCTGAATCTTCTTCAACAACTTCAACAACTTTTCCTTTTCCTTTCCTAGTTGAAGAAGACACTCCTTTGGCTTTTTTAGATGATGCTCGTTCCCCACTTGAAGGTTGCTTCCTTTTGTTACGCCTAGTATACATTAGAGGCTCTCCAACCCCTGAAGCATCATAAACTTGATTCCAAGTAAGTGGATCATTTCCACCAAAAACCCTCTCATCTAGAGCTTCAACTTCATCATCATCATCCCCATCCATCTCTCCAACCAGCCATTCATTACATTCATCAATATCATTAAGGCTAATGGGATCAACTTCATCCTTAAGGTTGTATCTTCGCATGAGTGCTTGATTATACTTAACATAGACCAAGTCATGTAATTTTTTATGATCAAGCCTATTTCTTCTCTTAGTATGAATCTGCAACATTAAATTAAATAATTAAGTAAACATTTTAAAATATTTGGAACTAATAAGACTCTTCAAAAGCAAATTAATTACTTGCTCAAAGACGCTCCAATTACGTTCACAACCGGATGAACTACAAGTCAAGCTCAATATCTTTATGGCTAGTTGTTGTAAATTGGGGGTTGATGAACCATAAAGTCTCCACCATTGAGCTATAAAGTCAAAAGAAAGTGTGTTAAATATGGAACAATTAGTAGAATAGAAGTTTAAAACTCAAGGTTTAGTTTCTAACCCGGTGAAACCTTTTTCCTCATTGCTATAGCAAGTTCAGTCCCAAACAATTCTCCTGCAACTTTATAAGTGTGTAGCTCCATCATGATTTTTTGCTCCACTTGCAAATCTCCTACCAACTTATTCATGCTTGCATAAAACCCTCTTATAATCTCACTATCAAATTCCATTTGAGGGTTGTCATAATACATCTCTGGATTCAAAAAATGACCAGCTGCATGTAATGGGCGATGAAGCTGAACATCCCATCTTCTATCAACAATTTCAAACACGGCTTTATATTTAGTCTCATTGTTATTGAAAGACTTCATAATAGCCTCCTTTGCCTTATCCATAGCTTCATATATATAGCCCATAGCTGGCTTTTTCTCACTATCAACAAGTCTGAGTACTTTTACAAGAGGTGCCATGACTTTAAGTATGTACACTACATTCCTCCAAAAAGAAGGCATCAAAACAGTTTTACATACTTCTCTTCCTTTTGCTTCCTTTGATAATTTGTTTGAATTCCACTCATCCGAAACAAACATCTTTCTTAAATTTGATTTTTCTTGGTGGATTCTTTCCAAAGAAAGAAAAGATGTTGCAAATCGAGTCACCGCATGTCTCACTAGCTCCCTTTTGTTTGTATAAAACCTTAACAAACTTAGGGTGCTTGAATGGCTATAAATGAAGCCAACAAGAGAAATTGCCCGTTGAATTGTTTTCTTGATATTTGGAAGCTTCCCAATATCCTCCAACATTAAATCTATGCAATGGGCTGCACATGGGGTCCAAAAAATTTTCTTCCTTTTTGCTTCCAACATCTTGCCAGCAAGAACATAATTACTCCCATTGTCCGTGATAACTTGGACAACTTTTTCCTCCCCAATATCCTCTACAATAGAGTCTAGTAATTCAAATAGCTTTTCTCCGGTCTTCACAAAATTAGACCCATCAACAGATTTAATGAACATTGTCCCTACAGAAGAGTTCACCAAAAAATTAATAATGCATCTTTGCTTCTTGTCCGTCCAAGCATCTGACATGATGGAACATCCAAAACTAGCCCAATGTTCCTTTTGACTCTTCATCAATTTTTCAGTATGCTCCATCTCTTTTTGGAGAAGTGGAACTCTTATATCATGATAAGATGGAGGTCGCAAATGTGGTCCAAAAGACCCAATAGCTGCAACCATGTCATGAAAGCTCTCCAATTTGATCATATTAAAAGATAGTCCAGCTTGATACCAAAACCGGGCTATATATTGGTGGACCCTTGCTGTAGCTTCCTTGTCACAACTCTCCCTTATACTTATTTGCTTCAATTTCTCCTTCTTGTTTTTTGCAATTGCTGTTTCCGGACGTTTACAAAAAAGGTCAATAGGCCCCTTTTTCATAGCAACCTTCTTCCTTTCATTGGCCCCAAGTGTCTCAACTTCTAATTCTCTTAAATCTCCCTCCAATGTATCTTCACTACCAAGAGTCACATCTTCCATTACTCTTTGACATGACTCACTTTCTTTCATCTTCTTATTTTTCTCAAGTGCCCACAACTCATCTTTAACCTCTTGTGGAACACTTTGACAAGGTGCAACATTTCCCTTCTTTCCCATTAAATGTTGCTTTGCTCTTGTAATTCCTCCTTTCATGATTTTTTTACAATAATTGCAGATAGTTTCATTGGTATCATTCTCTTTGGTAGGTTGACAATGTTTCCATCCTATGTCTGTTCTCTTAACAGAGTTTGAGGATGCTTCACTTTGGCTTGGAATTGGATTGCTAGACATTGTCCTAAAATTAAGAAAAAGAACAGTAATAAAATAGGCACTCAAAGGAGTAGGAAAAATTAAAAAGAGGATTAAAATTTAAAACTGAAAAAATAAAAAGAGGACTAAAACTGGAAGGGATTTGGTGTGGGGTTTTAAAACTGGATTAAAATTTAAAACTGAAAAAAAAAGGTTTTAGGAAGATTAAAACTGGAAAGAAAAATAGTAGGATTAAAACTGAAAAAAAAAAACCTAGGTTCGCCGGAGTTGCTCGCCGGAGTACTGGGGCACCACGGTTCAGGTCGCCGGCCAGGAAGGGGACGAAGGGGTGGGGAACGGAGGTAGTTAGGGGCAGTTTCGACTTCCGTAAGTGTTGTTCGCACTTCGTGGTTGCCGCTATCACTGCGTTTCAGGTGGCCGGAGTGTTGGGCTGCCGCAGTCGCTGCGTTTCAGGTGGCCGGAGTACTGCTGCGTTTCAGGAACGTTGGTCACCGGAGATACTTAGGGCATGAGCTCCTCTACGCAAAGAGTCACGACTGACTGTGAGGGTGAAAAGAGATGAGACGCGGAGACAACTAACCTAGGGCTCACTCCATTTGGGCCTGTTTGAAGCCCAAAAATAGGTTTTTTTTATAAAAAAAAACGCCATGACCGCCATGCCCGTTATACACCTTCACGGCGCCATGACAATGGCGGCCGCCATATCGGAAATGGCGGAAACCCCGCTAAAACTTCAAATAACGGCTGGCGAATGGCGGTAGAAGCCAAAACCGTTCCGTTTTTCCGTTATAACGGGGTTATAACCGATTTTTGATAACCTTGAGTAGAGTGTATGTAGTTTTGGTTTTAGGACACTGGTTGATGTTGAGTCGTCTTGCAAATTTCATGCTCGAAATGTCTAATCCTAGACCCAAGGGAATGTGTTAAAATGTTCCATATCAGCTAAGAATATGGCTAAAGCAACCCTTGTAAGACTTTGGGTAATCCTCCTCCCTTGAACTAGCTTTTTAGTGTTAAGTCCCGTCTGTTTCTAATAAATTATAATGAATATTTTTGGAGAAAGAAGTAATAATTTATTGCCTCTCGAAAATCTAACTACTTTAAGTTGTTAGTTTATTGCCATCATTGCTGGTGGGATATAAAGTACAAGAAAATGCTCGAGTTCTCCATTAAATTGTGTAGGAACTCAATTCCTCTATTTCTTCTCCCATCTTAAATCGTGATGTAACATGGAAATTGTTGTATGACTGATGCTGTGTTGATTTTATTCTCACCATTTCTATATCAAGAAATTATTATTTTCTCATTTTTTTTAATAATTTGATCTTTACAGTTTGCAATTTCTTCTGGGATCCTTACAGCTTGCACCATGGATAATTTATTCAAGTATAGTGATAAGACATTGGTGTTTGCGTACTTTTTTGTTTTTGGGCTTAGTGCAATCATGCTCTCTTTCTTTATATCAACATTTTTCAACCGGGCTAAAACAGCTGTAGCCGTTGGAACTCTGTCTTTTTTTGGAGCCTTTTTTCCTTACTACACTGTCAATGACGAGGGAGTTTCAATGTGAGTGCTTGTCCTTCTAATAACTGCTACTTTTAAGTCCAATTTTTCATATTTCAGTTTAGATTTTATTCATTTGATGTTGTCTATCTCAGGATCTTGAAAGTTATTGCTTCTTTACTTTCACCTACTGCCTTCGCTTTGGGTTCGATCAACTTTGCTGATTATGAGCGTGCTCATGTTGGACTTCGTTGGAGTAACATATGGCGGGTGAGTTTCTATGATAAGGCATTTGACATTACCATTTCGACCTATTTTTTCCTTTTACTGGAAATTTCTAAGATATTTATCTTTCAGGAATCATCTGGAGTGAACTTTTTTGCATGTCTTCTGATGATGATACTTGATACACTGCTATATTGTGCAATTGGACTTTATTTTGATAAGGTATGGCTTTGGTTATCTGAATATATCCTCTAAATTTGACTGAATAATTGGACTAGATCGGAAGCATATCACTCAACAGTGTTCCTTCTTACCTCCTAGCTGGAAGCCTGCATTTGTCTAGATGAACTCCCTTTCAACCCTTAGCTACTTACAAGTTTAAAACAAAAACCAATCTTAAAAACAAAAACTACTTTTAAACCAAAAAAACCAGTTTTGAACAAAAAAAATGTTTTTAAGCCAGTCTTAAACTTTTTTTTTTTTTTTTTTTTTTTTTTTTTTACCAACAACCAGTTTTGAAACTGGTTTTAAAACCATTTTTTTGTTGTTAAAAATCGGTTTTAAATCTAGTTTGGTTTTAAACCAAAAACCAGTTTTAAACCATAAATCAATATTCATTAAGGCAGGGCGCAAAGCATAACCAAACAAAACCATTTAAAGTGATAGGGATTAAAGCATTCTCTTTTCATTTTGTCTTGTGAATGATAAACCATTCAAACTCTGGTTATCTTGAAGGTTCTTCCAAGGGAGTATGGACAGAGATACCCATGGAGCTTTATTTTCCAAAAGGATTTCTGGAGGAAGAAAAAAATTGTAAAACATTGTTCCTCCGGTATTAAAGTTAAAATTTCTGGTAAGAATTCTGAGTCGGAAGGGAATCTTTCAGGGGAATATACTTTTAGACCTGCTATAGAAGCAATAAGCTTAGACATGAAACAACAGGAGCTTGATGGCAGGTATATGGTATACAATTCAAGTGCATCAATTTGGCATATGTTACATTGTCTCTTTCTAATTTTTTTATTTATTAATTTTCAGGTGCATTCAAATCAGGAATTTGCATAAAGTATATGCTACGAAAAAAGGGTATTGCTGTGCTGTTAATTCGTTACAGCTGACACTGTATGAAAACCAGATTCTTGCTCTTCTAGGTCAGTGCAGTTTTTTTTTTTCTTTTACATAATCACTGTTGAAATTATAGGGTTTTAGCTTTTAGGTATAGAGGGAAGAAAGAAAAGACTAGTGAATAAATACTAAATTGGTATTAACTAGATATGATATAATCGTTTGTGCCCGTTGTCAATAGTTGAATAGATTCCTGCTCTATTGATAAAATTGAGTCACTACTTTTGGCTCACGAAACTTGCATTGAATGGAAGAAGAATGTCCTCATAGATTCTGTCATAGTAAGTAAACATTACAAGTAAACATTACACGGTCTCTTCCCCACCTGATGCATTGGGTCCTTCTGACAATGGTGCCTTACTGTCTCGTAATTTTCCTGCTGGCATGCCACTCCCATGTGCTGCCAATTCTGGTAGAAATACTCTTTTGTTGCTGTGGTGGTTGCCCAAGCCATTTTCAAGGATATGTTGGTGGTAGCTCAGGGATCGCTAGGGATGGCAATAGGGTGGGATGGGGTGGGTACGGGTTTTAGTATCCCTTTTCTTGTACCTTATACCCATCCCTATCCCAATATTTGTTAGGTATGAAATTTGCATCCCCATTCCCGTCTCCTTCGGATATACCCGTACTTGTCCTATATCTACTCAAAAATTAATTATTCTTTTTTTTATTGGTAAAAAAATAAATAAATTTCAATATAGAGTAACAATTACAAAATTAGATTAATTAAGTTTCATTTGAAATAAATTTAAAGTAGAGTAAGAATTACGTAAATGGCAAGTTTCTAGAAATTTAAAGCGGGTATGGGTATGGGGCGGATATGTATATACCCATCCCCGTTCTTGTGCCTAATTCAATAAATCGGATATTACTCGTATCTATACCTATGTCCGATCAAACTGGATATTCCCCGTCTAAGTCAGGGCGGGTTCGGATATTATCTACGGATATGAGTTTACTTACCATCCCTAGGAATCGCCACACCATGCTGATAATTTGTTTCCTAGTTTCACAACAATCTGAATATATCTTCTGGTGTATTACCAGTTTCTCCTCACTTTGAGTATTATTGTCTTGTTGAGACAATCTTCCTTTGCACCAATTCGGATAGTTCAGGTACAAATATTTATACTTGTTGTGATTCAGGAATTGTGTAGATTGTTGTACACACACCAATCCTTGAAAAGGTAGAGTGAAAATTAACACAACATCTTAATTCATCATTATCTTATAACTTTAATTTATTTGAATTAAACAAAAATTCAAAAATATTGTCAAATATTTTTAATTGCTCAAATCTAGTTTTCAAAGAATTAAAGGTCATATCCACAACAACTTAAAAGTAATTAACTTTAAATGACTCATCAACTGACTAAATTTCTTCATCTTGATTATGCTCATTAAATTGTTTTTTTTCATCTAATGACATGACGTATTTTTGGAAAGATAGGCTCTACATCCATATCAACGACAATACTTTTAGCAACATTCATACTAGTTGTAAAGCCTTCATTCCTATAGTTTTCAAAAAACAACAAGACACTTTCTAATTGTTTAATGGTAGTATCGATGCACATAGATTTAGATTATAATTTTTTGCTTACCATATTAATAGAAAATAAAATGTCATACCAAATGACCATACCAAGCCAAAATTCAAAATTCTCAAGTGCATTAATCAAACTTTCTGCTTCACTATTTGACATATAGGTCATCACAAGATTTATGTAATTCCAACAAAGCTAATCTAATTTGGGGACTTTGAAACCTAATAGCTTTAATGCTTTTAATTCGACTTTCCCAATGAGTATTACACAAAGACTTTATAGTTAACCCGAGAACATTATTAAGAAAAATTTTTCATCTTCTTGTAGAACTTGAAAATAATGAATATATATGCTGAACTACTCCAAAAAAAAATGGTTTAACACAAGAATATGTCATGTCACAAAGAGTAAGATTAAGATTATGACAAGCACAAGACATAAATAATGCTTTTGGGTTTAAGTTGAGAAATTGCTTTTGAACTCTCTGGTGTTTTCCTTTCATATTAGAACCATTATCATAACCTTGACCCCTCACATCATTAACATTCAGGTTAAGAGCTTTCAACACAACTAGTAATTCATTAAAAAGTCCTAATCCAGATGTGTCATCTACTTTTAAAAATTCTAGAAATAATCCTTAATTTTTATTTTATTATTTGACATATTTACACATTGTACAATTAGAGTCATTTGTTCATGATGACTTACATAAGGGGTACAATCAAGAATTATAGCAAAATATTTTGCCTCTTTAATGATCTTAATAATAGAACTTCCTAAAACTATGGACCAAAAGGGATATTAACTCATTTTGTATTTTATTTTCAAGATAATGATAATGAATTTCATGATTTTGAATGCGTTTAACATGATCTTGCATTATCATATCAGATTCTACTATCATTTCAACTAATACCAAAAAAATTTCATTATTATCTTGAAATAATTTTTCATTAGATCCTCGAAAAGCCAAATTATGCTTAGCAAGACATTTCACAATTGAAAATATTCTAACTAAGACTCGTCTCCAATGTTTTTTTCTTTCATAATCTTTCGTTACAAGTTTTTATCAATTGTTTGATTTTTATCTAATCTTACTCTCAATTGATTCCAAGTATTCATATTAGTCGTATGTTCAAAAGTATTCTCGTGATTTTTAAGTCTCTCACTAATATGCTTCCAATCTCTTAAGCCATTGTTTGCTAACAAAGTTTTATTATTATCCGATTTGAACAACTTCCTAGAATAATAAGCATATGGAAAATGTCTAGAAGTGTTATCCAAGGGAAAAACAAGATTCATTTTTCTTATAGGTCCTTTTCAATTAAAATGTCCTTTACTTTATTATCAAGATTATTCCAATTTATAGGATGATAAATATCTAAATGAGGATTTGATTGCTCTTCCTTAATGTCAAAATTTTCGATGCTAAATTTATTTGGCACACCTCATCACATATGTATCAATTACTTTATTCTCACTTAACAGATTTTCAGTTTGTAAGCTAGGATTTAGTTGATCAATGTTTTCAAGAAACCTACATTTTAAAATTTTTTTTTAGCAATAACTCCTTGTTGTGATTTTGTTAACTCTTCCTCTCAATTTCTTTTTTCATTTCCAGATAAATGTTTTTTTATGCAACATTGTATAAAAGAAAATCAAACACTTAAATAATGTAAGAAAAAAAACAATAACACCTGAAAGTAGAAATTAAAATTGAATCTTTGCTCATACGTATGCTGATTCCAAATGCCAAATTTAAAGATTGTTAACATAGTTAAAAAAAAATAGCCATAATATAAACAACAATTAAATATTTGGGTATTCTCAAAATTTAAAGAATATATTCTCAATTTTTTTACAACAACGATAATAAAATTTAAATTTTTTAATTTTTGTATAAACTTATTATAATTGATCCACTATTATATATAAAATATTTCAATACGAATCTTGTAATTTTAGAGTAGTATATCACTAATAGCAAAGGTCACAATTATACCATCATTCAGAATAAATGACTAAATTTTAAAACAATATTATATAAATGTTACAATCAGGATAAAAGATATCAAAAGGTTTAGATTATGATTGTTCCTCACTTCCTCTTTAAACACCAACTTTAATGGCTCAATATAATATAATAAAAGTAACTAAATATAAGATATTAAAATACACAATAAAAGTAGAAATTATGCACACTATAATAGTTGAGTGATTATCGATTATTAGAATATAAAGAAAGTCTTCCATCTTCAACACCAACTCAGCCACCAACTACATTGCATGGATTCCTATTGGAGTTAACGTGCCAAAACTTTTTGGTTAAGAGATGGGGACTCCAATACAAAATTTTTTCATGCAGCAGTAAACATACGTCGTCAGAAAAACCATATCTCTACTCTTTACGACTCTGAAGGAAACCAACACTCCACCCCTACCGAACTTGGTAACCTTGCATGCTCATACTTTCAGGACCTATTCACCACACTTCCTAGGGAGATTCAAGCTGTAACTGATACCTTGGATTGTAAGATCTCCCAACTGGATAATGAGCAACTCACAACGCCCTTATCAAGAGAAGAACTTCGTACGACTCTTTTTCAGATGCACAAAGACAAAGCTCCGGGGCCTGATGGATTCAATCCTGGTTTTTACAAAAGATTTTGGGAGGTTTGTGGCGAAGACATTCTTTCCTCTTGCAACTCTTGGCTCGAAGCTGGTGAGCTTCCCCCACACATCAACGACGCAGTGATTGCATTAATCCCAAAGTGTCCTAATCCATCAAGCATGAAAGAGCTTCGACCAATTGCTCTTTGTAATGTGATATATAAAATACTCTCGAAAGCTTTAGCAAATCTCTATAATTTTATCTTACTTTTCATTTTACAAATATAATTTGGATTATTCATTTTATAAATTATTTTTTTTAAAATTTTTATAAATTTACAAAAAAGAATGTATTGAAACCCCTCAATCATATCTGTAACAATACTGTTGGCTCTAAGTGCTGTCGAGATAGTTGCAACATATTTTCAACTTACATTAACTAACTGACTGCTGTCATGTGACAGTTGTTCCCAGCTGAAATTAGTTGTGGCTGAATAAGTAGCAATTCGGCTGAGACTATATACTCACACAAAAAGTCAGATCTTTTAAATTTAAAATAAAATCGTTGTCTAGTGAAAAATTTGAGATAGGGAGAGAGTATGGTGAAGAGAGATACACAGATTAGAGGAAGAAAAATATTAGCAACACACTTTTTTGAACAAACTCTCTACTATTGGTTGAAATTTATTAAAATTACAAATTTTTGTGGGTCCCTCTTCTAGTTTTGTAATTTTCAGTAAACTTTAACCAATAGTAGAGTGCAATGTAGTCGAAATCGTGTCCCTACATGAAGTATCGTTCGTAGAATCATATGATTCTATGGTTTCAAGCCTCCTATATGTGTTCATTCACATGCAGAACCGCTCACAAGTATGTAAGGCAGAATTGCTGTGTGGAATCGGTGGGAGCGGCAATATTTACATGCAGCAAATTTTTAATTTTAGGGCTCCTGTTCAATTTTTCACTTTTTTGGGACAGTGCAAGTTTTTTTCTTCCTGAAATTTGGTTTTGGGCCAAACATTTACATGTCTCTTTTTTGTTTTGGGCTTAATATAATTTTAGCCCGTAACCCAAACTAGACCTATTCACTAATCGTTATTCCTAATCACTAATATAATTAAATCAATATTGTCTCTCACTCATGACGTGAACAATTCAGTACATGAACAGTCCGCGCACCACATGGCCTTTGTTAGTCATTTCAATTATGTACGGAGTTTACATATTGACTTTATTATGCTTATGACTTTAAGCTTAAATTAAGTATTCCATGTGTCATGATGACCTTTTTCCCCCTTATTTATACTATTTTAGATGCATATATAAGAATTTATTTGCACATATCTGGATTTTATAATTTTAGTAGAATCTTATGTTTCGTTTTACGATTCTGTGACCTTTTTCCAACTCGAACTAGAATCTCAATTTTGACTACCCTAGTAAAGTGTGTGTTTAGAAAATGTTGCTTGCACTCCTCTGAATAAAGGAATAGATACGTGGGGAGCCTTGAAATACTTAATCATACTGCTAGAAACTTTTAGAAATTGTTGATTTTAATTAATTTCCTTTTAAAATTTTGGGTGTTATGTTTTAGATCCATAGTGTCTTTCTCATTTCTTAAAATTGGTTGCCTTCTACTGTGGATGGTACTTTTTTTTTCCCTTTGTAATGCCTGGTCAATGGTTGAACGAGGGATATTTTGAGAGATTGCACTCTCCTTCTGTAAGGTTTTTTTTTCCCTTGTTATCATTGTTGTTGTTGTTGTTATTATTATTATTATTGGTTTTACATGCACTAATAAGCTTTATCTTTATCTACAACTGATAGACAAAACATTGTTGCTAAATGATTTTGTTTCTGTTTTCAAGGACATAATGGAGCTGGGAAAAGCACGACAATCTCAATGCTTGTTGGTCTGCTTCCTCCTACTTCTGGGGATGCTTTGGTGTTTGGAAAGAACATTGTATCAGATATTGTAAGTTTTTTGTTCTATAGTCTCATGTATGTTTGTAGTTCTAAATAGTATGTGCTGAGGAATTTAGGAGATTATTCAGTAATTACTGTCTTATGTGACTATGACTGGTTATAAACTGTAGTATATGTGTCAATCGAATATCTGAATCTGAATTTGTGTTGTGCGTACAAATATATAAAGGGAAACAGAATCAATTTCCCAAAGGTTAGGGATTAAAATCAGTAACAACCTAAACTATCTAAGGAAATTATGGAAGCATATCAAAGAATTGAAGGAAAGCACAGCACATAATTACAAACACAACTAACACTCCCCCTCAAAGTTGGAGCATATATATTATATGCATACAGCTTGTTACATATGTATGCAGTTCTAGGACCCTGGAAGACCTCAGTAAAGATGTCTGCTATCTAATCCTTGGAACTTACAGAATAAGTCTTGATGGTGCCAGAAAGGATCTTCTCTCTAATGAAATGATAATCACCTTCTATTGTTTAGTTTTGTAATGAATGATTAAGCTTGAAGAAAGCTACAAAATTGATTGATTATCACAAGCAAGCTTCATAGGACCTATCTCACAGCACTTCTTGGATAAAGTGCTTTATCAATAAAAGTTCACTAGTAGTATAAGCCATAGCATAATACTCTGCCTCTGTACTTGATGTAGCAACAACAGCCTACTTCTTCCTCTGCCAACCATGAAATTAAAAACTTCCTCCAATAAGAACACAGTAAACTAAAGTGGACTTCCTATCACTAGCACTACTATTCCCAATATGCTTCTGTTCTGTGTGTCCAATGATATTACAGTTTTGGGTCAGAGAATGTTTATTGTCCCATGCCTCAAATTTTGGTTCATCTGGGAGAGGATCCCCTCCATCAATAAGATTCAACTTTGATTGTTCTTTAAGAATTCTCCAATGTATTGAGCCCATGTTGATTTATTCCAACTATCAAGTCAGTATGGACCCACCACATTGGGAAAATCATTAGGGCCTACCAGGATGAATTTTTTCTCAGCCATCACTGAAACAGAAGAACAAAGAACCAAAGAAGAAGTTGATTTAGATCTATTGCAAACAACTCAAAACTGGACAACACCCTCTCTAAATGATTTTTATTTATTTGAATGGAAAAGGAGATGTAATTGGAAAAGGTTGAGTTGATAATATCTTGATTGATAATGATTTTAATTTGCAAGATTATTTACTTTAGAGTTTAAATATTTAGGTCTTTTTGTTTTGGTGTTTTGAAGTTTGACATACCTTATGTCTTTGTCTGTTTTGTATTTAGGATTGAATTGTATATGGCTTTATCATGTTGAATTGTAGAATGTTTATCACTATTGACAAGCCAGACTTGGATATCCTCTCCGAATTTATTTTTTTGTTACTTTCCCCTTTCATGTTGAGCATTTGCTCTAAGTCTTGTGTTTAGTGATTAAATGTTGTTGGAGTTAGGAGTGAGGCGTTCAAATCTTGTCTAACATTTTGCTTGCATGAATTTTGGTTCATGTCCCCCATAGTTTTGTATTATTCTGAATAAATTTTTGGTGCGCTGCAAATGTTAGATAGTGGCTGAGATGCTGAGATAGTTGGGATTTCTTCCTCTATTATGATGCCTTTGCATGCCAATTTTGCTTAAGAAAAACACCTGTTCATTCAAAATGCAATTGTCTTGTGTTGTAGGATGAGATACGGAAGGTTTTGGGTGTCTGCCCACAACATGATATACTCTTTCCTGAATTAACAGTAAGTAGAAGTATGCTTTTATTTTTTTATTCTCTGCAATTTGCATATTTGTTGAATGGTGGCTCTAGAATATTAATTGTTGCCATTTTTTTTTTCTATAACTAATTGGCTATAGGAAAAATGCATGTATTGCACTACACAACTTGTTTAAAGAGAGAAAAATGAGAGACCAGGTGGGTGAATCTGTTTGTCCCAATTACACACGGGAGTATATTATAGATAGTCATAAGACACAAGGATACTACTATAGTTACATATTTATACTATTTACATAATTCTAACACCAAGTCTTAAGTTGGAACATATAAATTATATGCCCCAAGCTTGTTACATATATAATCATCCAAGGATCTCTCAATGACTGTTAGAATAGTGGATTTAAGCCTAACTCAACCCTACAAAACCGGCTTATAAGGTGAGGGTTGCTTTCCACTTATATACTATTCAATTGCTAATCTCTAGTCGATGTGGGACTTGGGTTTTTCCCAATACACCCCCTCACGTCCAACACTATTGGGCTTGGTACGTAGATAAATGGTGGGTGACCCTTTTTAATGATCTAGGATTGGCGGGACTTGGGTTTTTCCCAATACACCCCCTCATGCCTATGAGGCATGCATCAATGGTGGGTGACCCATTTTTAAAGTGGATCTAAATGGCTCTAATACCATGTTAGAATAGTGGATTTAAGCCTAACTTAACCCTACAAAACCGGCTTATAAGGTGAGGGTTGCTTTCCACTTATATACTATTCAATTGTCTAATCTCTAGTCGATGTGGGGCTTGGGTTTTTCCCAATAATGACTAAGCAAATATATCTGCTAATTGGTCATTTGAGTTTACAAAGCTTGTCATAATGTCTCTTGATAAGATATTCTGCCTAATGAAATGACAAACTATCTCAATGTGTTTGCTCCTCTCATTGAATGCTGAACTTGAGGCCATATGCAAGGCAACTTGATTGTCACAAATGAGCATCATCTATCAAACATCCCCAAAACCTTAATTCTTTGAGCAACTATTTGAGTCATAAAAATTCACAAGTGGCTGATATTCTGCCTATACACTTGATCGTGCTGCGATATTTTCCTTCTTACTCTTCCGAAGTACAAAGTTATCACTAATAAAAAACACAATATCCAGAAGTAGATTTCCTATTTGTGGGAGAGCCTACCTAATTTGCATGAGTATCTCACCATTCATGTATGACCTTTGTCTTCATACAATAGACCTTTTCCTAGTTTTGCTTTAATATATTTCACATAGTAGTCAATAGCGGCCGCTATCATGGTGTGTCACAGCAGAGTGGCTTCGTGCTACTACATTGACCGTGGAGCAGAGTGGTTTATTATAGTGGCCAAGGTGGGTGTAATGTGGCGAAGTGGAGTGACGATTTAAAAAATCAGAAAAAACCTCATTAAGGGTATTTTTGCCTTTTCATTCGGGTCCCCCTCTACACATTTTTCCCTCAACCGTAAGTCCCTTCTTTTCTATTGAGTGCGAACAGCCTTAGTCCCTCGACAACTCTCGTCTTCTTTGTCCCTTTCTCATTCCTTTTCTTGGGCTCTCTCTATTCCTCATCTTGGACTCTTTCTCTGTCTTCTCCTATTAGAGAAGAGAATAGGATAATAAATACTTTTATTTGTTGTATTATTTACGTGTATTCAAATATATTTTCTGATTGTATTTTGCTAACACCTTTAGGTTAGTTAGTCTTGTTGACTTACTAACTCTTGAGTTAGTTAAGTCCGTTAGGTCTATATATGTAGGTGATACCTCTCTTGTATTACTTTATCAAATTTACTCATATTCAATAATATTTCTCTAAGAATTCTTTCTCTTATATGGTATCATCGTGAGCACGGTTTGTTCCGTTTCTCTGCCCATATATCTGTCGTGTCTGGCCTTCGTCTCCGTCGTTCTGACCCTCGCGCTACCCACGTTCATCGTGCTTTCCCTTCGCCATTGATTGCGCGTTTGTCGCGCATCGTTGCTTGATTTTCTTGCCCGGAATTCCCTTGCTGTTGCTCACGCGATTGTCGCGCCTCACCGTTGCTGTTCCTTGCACGTTCGTCGCGTCTCGTGGTTTTCTTTGCTCGCGCCTCTGCTGTTGCGCAATTTCTTGTCTACACTGATCCAATGGCTTCTTCCTCTTCTTCTTCTGATCATTCCGCTTTGCATACCTTTTCTCAGTCCGTTACGTGCAAATTGGATGACAAAAATTTCATGACCTGGCAGCAACAGGTCATTGCTGTGATTCGCGCCCATGACCTCGAACATTTCGTTGTTAATCCAAAGATTCCACTCAAGTACTTGACTGCTGAAGATCGTGACTCCAACACCGTCAACCCTGAGTATACTGTCTGGGACCGCAAAGATTCTTTGCTCTTTTCTTGGCTGCTTTCGAAACTTTCTAAATCAATTCAGGCTCGCGTCGTCTCCAGTCGGCATTCCTCATCTTGGACTCTTTCTCTGTCTTCTCGTATTAGAGAAGAGAATAGGATAATAAATACTTTTATTTGTTGTATTATTTACGTGTATTCAAATATATTTTCTGATTGTATTTTGCTAACACCTTTAGGTTAGTTAGTCTTGTTGACTTACTAACTCTTGAGTTAGTTAAGTCCGTTAGGTCTATATATGTAGGTGATACCTCTCTTGTATTACTTTATCAAATTTACTCATATTCAATAATATTTCTCTAAGAATTCTTTCTCTTATATGGTATCATCGTGAGCACGGTTTGTTCCGTTTCTCTGCCCATATATCTGTCGTGTCTGGCCTTCGTCTCCGTCGTTCTGACCCTCGCGCTACCCACGTTCATCGTGCTTTCCCTTCGCCATTGATTGCGCGTTTGTCGCGCATCGTTGCTTGATTTTCTTGCCCGGAATTCCCTTGCTGTTGCTCACGCGATTGTCGCGCCTCACCGTTGCTGTTCCTTGCACGTTCGTCGCGTCTCGTGGTTTTCTTTGCTCGCGCCTCTGCTGTTGCGCAATTTCTTGTCTACACTGATCCAATGGCTTCTTCCTCTTCTTCTTCTGATCATTCCGCTTTGCATACCTTTTCTCAGTCCGTTACGTGCAAATTGGATGACAAAAATTTCATGACCTGGCAGCAACAGGTCATTGCTGTGATTCGCGCCCATGACCTCGAACATTTCGTTGTTAATCCAAAGATTCCACTCAAGTACTTGACTGCTGAAGATCGTGACTCCAACACCGTCAACCCTGAGTATACTGTCTGGGACCGCAAAGATTCTTTGCTCTTTTCTTGGCTGCTTTCGAAACTTTCTAAATCAATTCAGGCTCGCGTCGTCTCCAGTCGGCATTCCTATCAGATTTGGGATCTTGTATTTCAACATTTTCACTCTCTCACCAAGGTTAAAGCTGCTCAACTGCGTCTTGAACTTCGCACGATCAAGAAAGGGACACGTTCGTGCTCTGAATATCTCCTTCGCATTAGTACCATCATTGAAATGCTGGCTTCGATTGGTAATCCTGTTTCACCCTGTGAGCATGCTGAATGCATCATTGGTGGTCTTCCTCCTGAGTATGACTCGCTAATTTCCGCAGTTACCGCCTTTGCTAGCAGGGATGACACCTTCTCCCCTGCTGAACCTGAGAACGTCATTCTTGCTCAAGAAGCTCGTCTAGACCAAGCTAAGATCTCTGTCCTTCAAGAACCTGCAACAATCAATCTTGCCCAGACTGTTCCTGTTCCTCAAGTGCCTCCCAATGCCAACCTAGCCTTCCAACAACCTCAGCTGCCTCATCCTCAACCTAATACGTTTCAGAATTTTTCTGCTCAGACCAGAGAAGGTGGTCGTGGTTGCCGTGGTGGTCAGAATCGCGGTTCTCCGGTTCAATGTCAAATCTGTCACAAACGTGGTCATGAAGCCTCCACGTGTTATCAGCGGTTTACCCCAATGCTTGCCTTTTATCCTACTTTTGGCTCAGGTTCCGTTTATCCTCCTCGTACTGGTGCTGTTCCACAGTTTGGAACTACAAATATGCTTGGTTTTTCTGGTCAAGCCTCGTTGCCTCCCTACACCGTGGGTAGTTCCTTTGGGTCTACTCCCTCTGGTTTCTATCTGCCACCACCTGGGTTCATTCTTCCTGCGTCATCACTCACTTAGCAAGGCTATTCTGGTGCTCCTTCCTCTGCTCCAAGAGCCACGCCAACTTTGAATACTGCCACAACTTGGATCCCTGATTCTGGTGCGTCCCATCATGCCACCCCGGATCCTCAACATCTTCTTCAAAGTGCTCAGTTTACCGGAGCTGAGCACCTTGCCATGGCCAATGGCCAAGGTACATCTATTACTTCAATTGACTCTAATGTGTTTAGGTCCCCACTTAATCCTTCCACAGTTCTCTGTCTTAAAGATCTATTACTTGTTCCTACTTTAACGACCATTGTAACGAGCATAAGGCTAAGGAGGGGAACCATCCCCTTGTAAAAAATAAATTCACAAGTAATGTTTACTAAATGGTAGAAAAATTTTGCAGACAACTTTTCCTGCAGATTTTCCTGCAAATTTTAATCTGCAGGAAAAATAAAAATAAAAATTTAAATTTATAAGTTTAATATTTTAAAAAAACTTCAAGTCCCACATCGATTGAAAATAAAACAATTAAAGAGTATATAAGTTGGGGCAATACTTACCTTCCAAGTTGATTTGTATGGTTGAATGTTAGACTTATAATCTACAATCTTAGAATTTAAAAGATGATGTATCACATGTTGGAGATATGGAAATAAATGTTTCGGATGAATTTATTGTGAGCATTTGAAAGTTGAAGAATTATTGATAGAATTTATAGTAATTTCTTTAATTTTTTTCGTAAAAAATATTCCTGCAGAATTTCTTGCAAAAAATTCGCAGGAAATTTTTTTTTTGCAGGAAACTTTCTTGCAATTTTTTTTTGCAGGAAACTTTCCTGCAATTTTTTTTCGCAAGAAATTTCGTAGGAAAATTTCCAACGAATTTTAAAATTTGC